TATTTCGAATTTGACCCGAACCAATGATCAAAACCAAGATGGTTTATGACTTATCATTTGTCATTTCTACTATCGTCAAATATACCTTTGTACATGATCTATTTCAGTTCACGAATTTGACCCGATTGAGGTCAAAGGTCCTCATTCGCTATATAGCATCCAACCAGATGTTTTGTATTGGCACGTTTCTATTGGCATGCTTGTGGGAGGTTTTGCGAATCTCTACTCGTGATGGTGACAGGTGGTTTTCTCTTTCTAAGAATAACCGTATCCACATATAATATAAAATACATACCTTACAACAAACGAAGATAAATTTAAATTTTTAAACTATACATATATCAGAATTTCGACTAAGCATATCTTAAAATGTTTGAACTTTAGTATGCTTATGTTGAACAAATAGATTTTAAAAATATTTATAAAAAAAGGGGGAGAAAAGGATTCAGCTAGAAGTTAATTAAAATCTATATTATTTGGTAAAAAAAATATAAAGAAAAGAAAGTTAAACTTAAAATTCGAGGCCCATAGTAACCCCTCCCAATTTCTACCGGATTGAAGAAAATGGCCTCTGTTGCCAAACGAACAAGTTAATTCGTCCTTTCGTGTTTATGATCTATAAAACTGGAGGAAATTATCAAGTGGAGACGATCAGAATCATTTCTGTCAGCCATAAAAGCGGTTTATCTGTGCAAAATACTTCAGCTCTAACCTAAGAAATAATTTGATTGAATTTACGATAAAATGCTGTTAGATTCTTTCGGGAGAAACGACAAATTAATAAAATGCTAAAGCTATTTGTAAGATCTATTCTTCTAAAAAATGAATCAGAATGTGATAAGATGTGGAATTAAAAGGCTTACAACTACTTACTTCGTTATCATTTGCTTTCAACATAAAGAAAACATGAATATTTTAATTTCTTTGTCTTGCTATAATGCAATTTTTATTGTATGTCTCACGTTGATATAATAAAATGTTTTTATCCAAGCTGAATTTTATATAATCCTATTAACATTTTAATAATTAAAATGTTGTAATAAATGCTACAGTAAATAAAGTTTTGAAAATAAAATTAACTATGAAAATCTTTTATCAACAAAAGAATTTGCTTTTATTTAAAATAATAATAATAATAAATCCTATAAATAAATATAAAGTTGAAATTCGAAAAGTTTTACAATATTATAACTTATTTTTTCAAATTTATTATTAGTTTATAAATTAATTTATAAATTTATTATTTTTCAAATTAATTACTATTTATTATATTTCAATAATAATCTAGGTCTAGGAATTTATTTCTAAACCACCATTATATATAAAAAAAAGTTCAATATAATTTAAATATCAGGTCAAAATTTTCAGCATAATATTTAAATTCAATTACATTTTTATTAAAATTCAAGTCTTATTATAAGCTTTATACTTAATAGAGTGTTTATTTTTCTTTATTATTATTATTAATATTAAAATTCTTATTAATTATAATGTTACATTAAAAATAATTGTTAAGGTATAATTAAGAGTATTAAGTTTTTGAATATTTAAAGTAAGGTTCCCGTGGCTTTTATGTAAAACTTTTTATTTTAGATTTATAAGGTCGTCAAGCCACTTAATTTTTTTTATTTTATAAATTAAAAATGTAAAATCTAGTGCTATATATTATAAAAATTACACAAAGTATAGATTGATTTAAAATTTTAAACCTAAAAATTGAATAAATTAAAGGATAATCTACATATTTTTTAATATAACTTTAAGATATATTTTTAAAATCAATTGCTTTGCTTGATCTATAAAATGAATTTAAGTTAAATTCTACGACATGGACGGACCCAAAGGGGTAATCGCTCCCTGTAATTTTTTTTTTTTGTTGTCAACAGGAACTTTATTATTTCTTTAAAATAATGTTTGTATTTTAATGTTTTTATCAATATTTTTTAATTTTCTTACATTTTTATATAGTTTTCTTGTAATTAGTATAGCGATAAAACTTTCGATTTATTACACAAATTAAAAATAATCTCCACCGTAAGATTGGTGTTCCTGGATCTTTGGTCTATAGTCGTTAATAATTCGAAGTACAAATCTTACAGTACTCTACTGTATAAATTATATCGAGAAATGTAAATTTAAAAAAAAATTAAAAATTTATTAAATTAAATTACAAAATAAATCTACAATCTTCCTAAGAGAAATAAGACTTTAATTCATCAATTCTGAAAAATTTTATACATCAATATCTTATATAAACCTAATGATAAACATAAAGCATAAGTTTTTTTCCATAAAAAAAAATATGATTTTTGTGATAAATTATTTTAATTTTGTGATAATTTCTTCACAGAATTAAAATAATTGTTGAAAAACTCATTCATTTGGATGGTAAAAATGGTTTAATATTATAATAATTTTGAAAATAAATCTAATACTTATCATTTTCGTATATATTTAGAGAAATGAAAATTTTATTTGCTTTTCTCGGTAATGAAATTACTCCTGAAGTTCTTTGCTACTCTTCTGTAAACGATAAATTTGTAAATTAAACCAGATTAGTTTTCCTTTAAGCGATGCAATTTACTATTGAATATTTGAATTATATTAAAGAGAAAACATATTTGAATTTTCCTGTAGCAAAATAAATTTTCATAAGTATGTCCTGAGTCAATATTTTGTAATGTAAAAAAATACTTATTTATTTATTTAAATAAGTATTTAGTGTTTTTAGATTGAGTAGTTTTGTATAATATAGTTGAAACGAAGTTAAAATAAGAAAGTCAAACTGAATTGCAGGCATAAATCACAGACAGTTGTTCTTGACTTTTATATGTCATTGCAATTTGTATGGCAGGATACTAAAAACACGACGTCTATTGAACGTTTAGTAAATTTGACACTAGCGATCCGAGATTTCCAACTTATCGTGCATGCATCCTCAGACTACGATAGATAAGACGTATGTAAACTGCGCACGTTAGTTTAACTTAGAATGCAAGTAGTCGTATATAATTAAACCACGCCTGCACCAGACGTGTGCAGATATAAATTAACCTTAAAGGGTGTGTCGAATTCTTTTCCCTCCTGCACGCTTTGATTGATATGACTCCAATTTAGGGGACATTGAAAGAAGAAAGAACTATGTTGACTACCAGATAAGGTAGAACTCCGCCTTGATTCAACAATTATCCAATAGCAGCAGAAGTGGTGGTGCTAGAATATTTTTAATGGTTCTCCTCGGGCTATTAAATAGAGAGAGACACGTATGGGTCATGTATAAAGATGAAATCTTTGCATACATAAACTGCATTCTTATGTTGTGGCAAGAAAGGTCGCATTTTCCTTTAACACATTCATACTACCCCATAAACATTTTTAAAGAACGATAAATTCTTTTGAAAACTCAATTTACTTCAAAATATATTCAATTGTTGAATTGAAATTTGAGAGAATAATGTTTGAATTGAATATATTATTTAAAATCGTTTTAAATAAATTTATATTTAGCACGTATTTAAATCTGTATCAAAGTGGCAGAAATTTTACGGAATTTAGTCTTATTTAATAAAATAGTTTGTCTTTTATTATTATTAAATAGCATATTATCATCAAATAGTGAATGTCTTCTCACACGAATAAAGCTTTTAATACGAAGATGTGTAAAGATAAAATTATTTCCGGAGAAACTGTCGCTTCATTTGTCGCCAGCCCGAGGACATCTCTCAATTAGAAGGCCAAGTGCCATCTCGACTACGTTCTTCAACCTCGGGCATTCAGGCTATCATTGGTTGGACATAATCACGTGCCCAATAAGTTTTACATCTGAGCTATATCTCAATCATCACATCACTCGCTTCTTCAAACACCAAGATTTTATTCCCGAAGCGCAATATTCAGAATAAAAACCAAGTGACAATTTGGAATTCGTTTTTTACTTTTCTTTTCAAGTGCATGAGCTTTTGAAAGTTCATACAAAGATCGGAACCTCCTCATTGATAAATGACGCAACGATTTTTTGCTTAAGGCTATATACTGTCACACGGATGGTGTATAATTTGACCTTGAAAAGCTTTCTTGTACTCTTTATCTAAGCAACTAACTTGGCAGAATTAGGTCCGTTTGATTGCAAAATGCTGCTATCATCAATAAACTGTTCTGTCAACGGCTGTTGTGTTTTACCGATAACACAACTTCTATTTTTCATAGTCTGAAAGTGTCTGGCCGAAACTTGTTGACTGCGTGGATAAGCTTGAAGATGGGAGAACTCGTTTGAAAGCATTGAGCAACTTCAGGCCTAGAGTCACCTATAAGTAGACTATATTAAATATAATCATAAATATTTTTCAAGTTTATGGCTAAAATAACGCTATTTAGATTTATCGACTGGCATTCTTACGTTTGATATGATTAACGGGTTAGCAATGGAATACTAATTAACGCTGCTCTTTATATTAAAATATGCTAAATGAGTAGTTTGACGGCTTTCATGCTTCTCTTTTGTTTGACAACATTCCTGTCTGGTCGTAAAGAACCTTTATGAATTGCAGCAGCATCATTCGGACGTTTATGTCTAAAACATTCAGATTAAATTGAATGCGGTAATTGTCTTTGGATCGTGAAGGAAATTTCTTTCGTTAATTTACATTCTAAACTTTTCACTTTATATCTCATTATTTAAAGTTTTAAGCTAAAACTTAAGAACACATTTAATAGTATCGTACTCGGTATAACGAAATTCTTTAATCTCCACGCGATAAATAAATAACTGTTTTTATTTATTAATTAATCTCTACAGTGTTTTTCCATTTAGTATTTATAATTAACACATATTTAATATTTAATGCTATTTTTTCTCATTAGATGGCGCTAGATTCACTTACTCTTTATTATATTTATTTACTTATTAATTATTTTATGTAATAAATTCATTACAGTTATATACTTGAATACATTATATACTCGATAATAAGCAGATATGTGATTTTTTATCTGTATTTTAGGTTACTATAACGGTTCTAGACGAGAACGATACCCCTCCTACTTTCATTCAAGATGTCTATCAAGTAAACATAACAGAAGACACGTCTCCAGGATCTACTATTATAAAAGTTGCTGCTGTTGACGAAGATTCAGCAGGAAGTATCAGTTACTTTCTGAAAGGTTCCGATCATTTTAGCGTGCAATTATCTGATGGAGTTGTTAGTTTAGTAAAGAAATTAGATCGTGAAAATAGTTCAGAATATTTTTTGCAATTGATAGCATCGGATGGAGTTCGTGAAGGATATTCAACTTTGATTATTCAGGTAAGTGTTTAAGCAGTATTTATATTGTATTTAATTGGCATTTAATGTAAAGATTTTTTTTGATAATGCAGGTGATAGATATCAACGATAATTATCCCGAGTTTGACAATCAAGTGTACTCTTTCGATATTCTCGAGAATGCTCAAAAAGGTAGTGTGATAGGAAACGTGTTAGCTTCGGATAAAGACGTTGGAGATAACTCACTAATTACCTATAGCATCTTAACTGAATGGGGGAAGGATGTCTTTAATTTAAATCCTCTAACAGGGGCTTTTACCCTAATTTCTACGTTAGATTTTGAAGAGGTAATTTCATTATTTTCTTTTTAGGCTAACGTAATTTTCAAAGTGTTTCTTTAGATAAAATTTAGTTATTATTTTAGGAGCAACTTTATATAGCAACAATTAAAGCAGAGGATTCCGGTCATCCCAGTTTATCATCTACAGTGACAGTATATATTAATGTCGTAGATGTAAATGATAACGTTCCTTTATTCGAATCGACTACGTATCGTCAAGAAATATTTGAAAATATAACAATAGGATCATATATTTTACAAGTTACTGCACTGGATATGGATTCAGGTTAATTAAAGTTTGATAAACTTAATTAATAAATGTTTAAAGATAATTTAATTAATTTAAGTATATTTGCTTAGGTTTTAATGGAAAAATACGTTATGAACTTTTAGAAGGAGATCCGAAAAATGAATTTTCCATTACATCAAATGGTACAATTATAACGTCGAAGGAATTAGATAGGGAGAAAACATCATTTTACAATCTAGTAATAAGTGCTACAGATGAAGCTCAATATCCTAATGTACCTCTTTCTAGTAAAGTACTTGTCACTATTGTTTTAAAAGATGTTAACGATGAATCACCTCAGTTTTTGACTCCAACATCGGCTTGGGTAAATGAAAATGCTCCAAAAAATACTTTGATTATGACTGTAAAAGCAATTGATAATGACGACGGTCCGAATAGTTATATAGAATATTCAATCGAAGGAACTGATAACACATTTAGTTTAAGTCCTGTAGAAGGGCATTTGAAATTAAAATCAGTTTTAGACAGAGAAAATATTTCTACTTATAATATTATTATTTGGGCTAAAGATAAAGGAAAACCTCCTCGTTCCTCATCCATTGCAATCACCGTTAATGTAAACGACATCAATGATAATAGTCCAAAATTCCAGAACGATCGCTATGAAGTCAGCTTACCTGAAGATATTCGTGTTGGTCATTTTGTTTTTCAGGTATCTGCTAGTGATCCCGATGAAGATAAAAATGGACAAATCAAGTATTATATTGAATCTGGCAACATTAATAATCACTTTACTATAGATCTTTATTCTGGAATTATAAGAGTAAACAAAGAACTAGATAGAGAAAAAATATCACAATATCTATTGACATTGAGAGCGATAGATTGTGGTGACAATATACTTCACGATACTGTCACTCTGGCAATAATTATAACTGATATTAATGACAATTATCCCATATTTGTTGACAGTCCTTATCAAGTTCGCGTATTAGAAAATATGGATTATTTTCCAATTACGATTATAACTCTTGAGGCGGAAGATGATGATGAAGATAGCGCAATTCGTTATTCCATTCAAGATGGTGACAAGAAAATCTTTAGCATTAATGCGACGACTGGGGAATTAACCATGCATAATAGTGTTGACAGAGAGAAACAAAACGAATATATTTTGACAGTTATTGCTATTGATGGAGGTAAAGTTGTTCTAGTATTTATGAGATTATATTTCGTGTCACTTGAATGAGTAGTTTTTATTTTTTTAGGGAGTCCTTTACAGACTGGAACAGCCACTGTCACTATCATTGTCGAAGATGTCAATGATAATTCTCCTGACTTTGATCAATCACAATACATAGGATATGTTGAAGAGAACTTGCCTCCAGGAAAAGAAATTATTCAGTTATCAGCCAATGATCCTGATAGCGGCGAAAACGGAAGAATAGTGTAAGTATTTATAATTTAATTTAATTTTGTTGACAATATATTCTATTAGTTTTCTAAAAATTATATTTTTGTACTTTTTCAGTTACGATTTTTTTGATAGAAATTATTCCGATTTGTTCTCCTTGGATTCAAAAACGGGACTTATTTCGACTCTTAAGACGTTAGATCGTGAAGCCATGGAAGTTTATAAAATGTCTGTTATTGCTCAGGACTGTGGATTTAACGTCAAACATTCTAGCATAGTTCAGTTGATGATAAAAGTAACTGATCAAAATGATAATGCTCCTCAGTTCATGATTAATAGCTCTACAGTTATTTTACCGAATAATGCATTAAAAGGTATTTTTTATTTTATAATTTAAAGCTATTTTATTCTTACATGACCTGAGATTTTTTCTTATTTGTTTATTTTTCTTTCTGCAGATCAGTTCGTATTTGAAAGCCGAGCTAAAGATCTAGACATTGGCAATAACAGTAAATTAACTTATGATGTTAGTGATTCGGAGATAATTCTTATTGATCAGAACACGGGAGTTTTGAAACTGAAGCGTGATCTAAATCCCAACGACGACAATCATAACATCACAATTAAAGTAAAAGATAACGGAAAAATTCCTCTCTCGGATACTTATAACCTATTCATTCGACTCAGTCCAGCGAACCGATTTCCTCATTTTAGATCGGATCGAAGACAGTTTAGAGTTTTGGAATCAGTTACGGATTATCATATTAGTACTTTATCTGCTGTGTCACCTCAAGGTCCACATAGTAGATTAAGATATGTTATCGGAGGAGGCAATATAAACGAAGTTTTCGCGGTGAATCATCGAACTGGAGAAGTTCGTGTTTCAGGTATGTTAGATCGAGAAGAAGTGGCTAAATATGAATTATGGATCCAAGCATTCGACGGAGATTTAGCAAGCGCTGTTCGGTTAGATATCGAAATAGAAGATGTCAACGATAACTCACCCATATTTAAAGAAAATCATTATCAATCGGCTATCAGTGAAAATTTGGAAGAATCTCAAAGAGTGATACAGGTTTTGGCAGAAGATTTAGACGAAAAAGCTAATGGACAAATTTCTTATAAATTAATTGAATCAGCTAACTCATCCTTTCGTATTGACCCTCACAAAGGAATTATTTACACCGCAGTTAAACTTGACAGAGAAGAAAGAGACAGTTATAATTTGATTGTTCAGGCAACAGATGGAGGAAATCCTCCTAAAAGTAGTTCTACTACGGTTACTGTTATTGTGTTAGATAAAAATGATAATCCACCTCGTTTTACTAGGTTGTTTACCTCAAATGTGACTGAGAATGCACCTCCTGGGACAGTTGTAATTCACTTGACTTCATCCGATCGAGATATTAGCATTAATGCAAACGCCACTTATAGTTTTGTGGAAAATTGGGACGGTATATTTCATCTGGATCCAAATAATGGAAATGTTACTGTATTGAAAAAATTAGATCGTGAAACTAGGGAAGAATATATTTTGAAAGTTGCTGCTGTTGATGGCTCGTGGAGAGCGGAAACTCATTTAACTATCACAGTGCAAGACGTTAACGATAATCCTCCGATGTTTTCCAGTGCGATTTACCAATTTAACATATCTTCAACTTTAACTACAGGCTCTAAAGTTGGAAAAGTCAAAGCATTCGATCGTGATAAACAAGGTCCACATTCAACAATTACCTACAATTTAAAACCAACTCATAATATTTTTGCTATTGAACCAGATACAGGAGAAATTTACATTCGACCACAGATCCATGTCAAAGAATTTGATGATCAGTATGTTTTTCAGGTAATAGCAACTGATCACGGTAGACCGCCTCTTTCTTCTCAAGCTGTTATAGCGATTAAAATAATAGATAGGAATTTTGGACCGCCTATTTTCGTCGGAAATAATTCAATTTACCCAGTTCCGGAGAACGTCCATATGAATCAAACAATATTACAGTTGACAGCCAAGGACTCTAATGATAAATGTGTTAATTCCGAGATCAATTATTATATTGTTGGAGGAAATGGTTCTCTTTACTTTTGCATCGACAAATATCGGGGTAAATATCTTTCGCCTTTCTTACAAATAATCTAGCTAATATATTAATATTTAGAAATATATATAAAAGATTAATATTTAATAATATTGTTATAATAATAGTAAACAGTTAATAGTAAAAATTTGCTTAATTATCAATTTTATTATTCTTTGTTTATTTTATAGAAATATAGAGTAAAACAAACTGTTTATTTAAATATATGTTTTAATTCCATAAGAGTTAGTAACTAAAACAAATTTTTAATTACGATAAAAAATAAGTTTGGTCGTATTCGTCACCCGTAATGTTTAAATACTTTCATGTCAATGTTTAAATAATTTGTTTGCCGAGTTCGTGTAGAATATCATTTATTATTATTTACTGTTATTAAATATATAATGAATTGTATGTAAATAATTGGTTCAAGTTGTATTAGAATCTTCATTTGAGCGAACCGAAATGTTTTCAATTTTCATACAAAAATATATTGATTAATTTGAGTGAATATGGAAGACGGCACGCAAAATACTTTTACAGTTGCTAACATACGCGGGCTATATATAAATATATATATATATATATATATATATTTTACTTTTAAAATTTATCTCTGTCTCTCTATCTCTATATAAATTCATCTCTATAGCTCTCCGTATAACAGGACATTTGTAATAGATATATTCTTATATATCTCTAGTTGCTTTACTGTATCCAGATTTGATTATTTGAAGGGTAAAAATATCTGAAAAATATTATAAATTATATAAATATATTATATAAAACTTTATAAACTCACTTTAAATTCTATTGTATATACATAAAATATCTCAGTTTCAAGAAATATTTCATCAAATAATATAGACTGAAACGTATCAAATAGACATTTTGTGATCTAAATATATTTTATTCCTAGGATTTATATCCGTAGATAATAAATAAAAATATCTAAAAAGAATAAGAAAACTATTTCCTCCTTTAGCTTTTTATATAGTTTATTTTATACATTTTTTTGTACTTTTTCAAAATTTTGTTGATTCAATCGTATCTTCTAAATTCGTCCGTTGTTAAATTTATTCGATGCAACCATACTTATAGTAAGTTAGACGGGGCCCAGTCACTAGAAGCGTTACAAATGAATTTGATCAAAGGACACTCGTTAGAAACTATTTTAATATTATTTAAACGTATAGAAACTTAAAAGATGAAAGTGGTTCCTTGTGCATCTAGGCACCTTAATCATGTTCCGACTTAAATTTACGTAAAATATTGATGTCGACAGCTTCAACGTTTCTGAGAATGCTTTCTTTCAGTTCGTTTATAACTGTGGGATTGATCTTAGTCATTTTCCTTTTAAATATACCAGTAAAATTTATCTCATTATAAGTATTCCTTATAAAATATACATTACTAACGTTTTATCATCTCAGTCGAGCCGATTTTAATGGGACACCCTATATAATAATCATAATAAACAATTTAATATTTTCATACGTTAAACGATAGACTGTAGAAAATTAGTCGGAAATTAAAACTGAAATGTTTCATTATTCATTTGCTTTATATATAAATACGTATTTCTATTAAAAAAATTTAAAACGTAAACATAAATATTCAAAATGAAACTGACTATAAATTTAACAACTGGAAAGTTTATTTCAGTCTATTTAAATTCAATAAAAGGTATTTAAAACATACGAGATTGAATAAAATCCGTTTAGGATGCTAAAAAATGGAAGTTCAGACATGGAAAACACACTTGTATACTGTATACATATACTGTATATAGAAAATAGTAGTGTTAACTATAATAATGATTATCGTAAAGACTTTGATCTAATTTTTGTGAATTAAGCAATCACTTTTAACTGTAAAAAAATAGGAAGAAAATTTAAACAGATTTGCGAGTTTACCAAGGGAATTTTCTTAGAAGTAAAAGCCGTTTCTATTTTCTCTGTTGAGCGCCTAATATCCTGGACGCTCTCTCTTTCTAGGACCACTGTATATCGCACTTTCTATCTCTGCCCAATGATATATGAAAGGAAGTATTAGCAATTCAAATGCATTAAAACAACTGATATAATACCGAACGATGATTGGGAACTAAAACTAAATATATATAATTGAGATTAATGACAATAACTTATACAACGATTGGAAGCATCATATCGATTTATGTTTACATAGAAAGTAAAAGTTGATACTTATTTTTCGGCAATCGAAAGGCAAATTTTTATGCTTAATTGATTTATCTTTACAATTGTATAATTTAAATTTACCTCATATCTTAAAATAGTTAAAAATCGGGATATTTAGTGTAGCCGTTACCTGTTCGACGTCATGGATTTATTATTTAAACTTTCCCATTATTAATCTCCTATTTTTCTTGTAATTACCACACTATTGAGACCATTTTATGTTGATAAACTTTAGTCAGAAACTTTTATAACAAATTTTATCAGATATGTTAAAAATTTCTATTTACCAAATGTAAATTTATATATATATATATAGTATATTTCTTTTGAGGTATGTATTTAGCTTCATTTAACGGTGTTTTAATATAATTAATGCTATTGGATATTGTAAACAGTGGAAGAAGACATTTAGTTTAAATCGATGCTTTTGGAAAACGTTGGACTTGTTCTAAGACCTGTTATACGGTCGCTCGTTTCTTTGATCTTTATCCAATTGACTTTCACCTATGGGGGTAAGCGAAAAAGATAGGATGTACGTGACAGACAAACGTACTGGCGAAGAATTTACTCGTTCATTAAATGCAGCTGCTAAAAATAATTGAAATAAAAAAGCCGATAACTTTTAGAATGTGTATCGGAAAGTCTGTGTTAATCTAGTACTAATTTAGAATTTCAAATTTTGATTAAATTATAATTTAAAAACGTTTGCATTAAGTTAATCTAATAATATTTCAAAAGTTTATAAATTGGATATAAGATATTAATAAAAGATATGGTTAATTTTAATTCGATGGCGACGAATAAAAATTTAATAATCTTGTCATCAAAAAAGTGAAAATGATGGATTGAAAATATTTACCTTTAGAAATTAAACAGTTCTTTCTTTAAAGAATTAGTCTCTTATTTCTTCTGCATTTATATCATTAATTGTTATGTAATTTCAGTACAGAATTTTATTTATTTTCAATTAAGAACTATGACTTAATTACATAATATATAAGGAATTATTATTTTCTTTAAATTCTTATTAAACCAAATTCATATGAATAGAAAAGTTATCATTTTTTCTAGTTTTCTTCTTCTTAAAATATTTTTTTTATTAATTACTTTTTATTTTATCCAAGGAATGAAATTTATTAACAAAGAAAATAATTTTCTAGAAAATTACTATTGAATAAAATTTGTATAAAAATACTTATTAATTTTTATATTAATTTATTTCAAAGAGTGAAAGAATAAAATCTTTAATAATTTTTCACTATAAATTATTAGTTCAAAAACTAATTTCTATTATAATATGCTGAGATAATCGACTGAAATTTATTATATGCATTAGACCTGAAATTATTCTAGAATTAGCTATTAGTCTTCGACTCTAATCAAAATAGAATAACCCATCATTACACGTTGCCTTTATTGTTTCTCGTATGCATTACGCCCTCTTTTGCCATTAAGTTTATGTGAAATACGCCTTTATATATTTAATATTTTTAAAAAAGTAATCAAAGATGTGCAATGAATAATAATAAATTTCATTTTTGTCTAATTCCAGGAATTGTTAGCGTATGCGAATACTTCAAAAAAAGTGCCGGCACCATTTTTATATTGGAAGTTTCGGCTTTTGATAGAGGATTGCCTCCAATGTCTACAAATACTTCTTTAAAATTAATCATAAGCGAACAGAATAACTCTCCACCTTCATTTCTTTCTCCATCATATCAAGTAGTTGTTGCTGAGAACGAAGCTGTAGGATCTAAATTAATTGGACTTACTGCAATTGACAAGGATCAAGGTAAATTTTGTCTTTTCCAATCGTTATTCTATATAAGGCTCTACCCATTTACTATAGATTGTTCGAGATGATATATAATATTAAAATAATCCGAAATAAAACTAGTAATACCGATTTAAATTTATTTTTAACGATATAGATTATTAAGTAATAAAAATTGTCTTAAAGGTTATTAAATTATTAATTAGTTGAGTTAGTTTGTTATTAATATGAATGATTAATGATGTTGTTAATGCTTTCAAATGATTACCTTTACTGAACATTATTAACAAACTTAATCTCGCTCTCTGGCAACGCCTTTGATTACTAAACATTTTAATATACAGTAAAGGAGGAAAATTTATAATTTTGTAATAAGCTGATTAATATAAAATGAAAATTTTTTAAATTTTTAAATAAATCCTAAATATATTTTAAGCCATTTCTGAAGCGATATCTTAGCTTTCAAGTAAGTAAAAAGTGAATTCATACATCTGTTTTCTAAATCTTTCTTGCAATATTTAACTGATAAACTTTGCTGTAGATCGCGATTCTGAATTAAACTACATTGCAGAGCTAAAATTTATTTAAAATGTTCGACAGATAACGAAATATAAAAGCTGTTTTTATTAAATCGCTAAAAATCGTTACACTGGTATAACGCAGTGCATTGACATTGATATAACCGCAGTGCTCGGAATCTAAAAATTTCGACCGCTTTTTACTGAGATTGCATTGTAAGGGGTAGGTAGGATCGTCGAGAGCTTACGTGAGGCCCAAGGTACAGCGGATTTCTTTCTCCCTTTGCGGGTCTGTTTAGCCATTTATTTTGGAACTTATTTTTTTATTATTAATAAAAAAAGCAGTCTTAACAATTTTTTTGTTAGTAAAAATTAACATTAATTTATACGAATAACTAGTTTTCTCCTAACTAGTAAATTTTTTCTGAGCCCAGGGAAAAATCCCCTGTTCCCTCTTCTCTCGATGGCCTTGGTAAGGAGAAACCCTTTCTGCTTCGTGTGCAAACAACTCATAATGTATGGCAATTGCTATCAACTTACCGTTCACTTCATTCACACACTTTCTACCGTCCGTTTTGTTCCTCCTGGCTTTGATAAATTATCCGAGTTGTGTACGAATTCGCGTTCTATCGAAGCGTGTTATATCGAATGTATCATATTTCAATTTTTTTTCCCTTTATTTCATTTTTTGTTTCTTAAGATAATTCACTATGAAAGTCTATGTTTATAATTAAACTAAACTACGCTAATTATGGAAATATTCGATGTGTAAACGAACTAAATAATTTTGTTTAATTTTATAAAATGCACAAACAATCATCGTTTAAATTATTTAATGTTATTGTATGTGGTCACAAACTTTTTCGTTGGCAGGTCAAATTAAGCACGAGGCATAAGTATACGGGATATAAATATTTTGTATATTTTGTATATACAGTGGAACCTCGGTATACGTCTGCTTTAGAATACGTCCAATTCGGAATATGTCCTGTTTGGACGAAACAAATTTTGCTCGGTATACGACTTTTGTTCGGTATACGACATAATTCAATTATACGCGTCATCACTGAACAAGTAGCACTATCGGTGTACTAGACCAGACTAGACGTTCGTGGTGCAACGGTTTATAACTTTGTTTAATTTCTTCTGATTTTAATTCGTAAGTAAAATTTTATTATTTTTATTAATCACGAATCCCAAAAAGGCAAATGAAAAGCGACAGAAAACTAAAAAAATGACTANTTTTTTTCTTAAACTCTTTTAATCTCAAAATTTTTCTGCTGAATTTTCAATCTCTTACTCAAAATTTCTGTTTACTTTTGATATATATTTAGAAAAATTACTTTACATAAGAGTTTATCACACCAAGTAACCAATCTAACATATTTTAAAATTATGTACAGTACAGTAAAAATAAAAAATTTTAAAAATGTCTTAGATTGGTCACTCGATGTGATATACTCCTACGTAACTATATAACTACCTTTAACGTTATATAACTGCCTTTGTAGTTATATAAATCAAATACTACAATATAACGAACACTAAAGCGAAAAGCATAAAATGTGTTTGGTTATATCAGCCTTCCATTGTTACGTTTATCGCGGTACTTGAAAGATACGCAATAATACAAGTTCATCCATCAAGTAGTAAGCAATTAAATCAGCCATATAATATCTTAAAATATTTAAGATATCATTTTTTCCTTAATATTAACTCTAAGGAACTGTACCATTCGCAGCCGAATATTAAAACAGTAGAGCGTTGTTTATCCGAAGGTCGGTTATCCGAAGGAATTCCAGTCGACAAATTTAAATTTTCGCCAGTGCTGTGGCGCTGTAATCTTTGGCTATGTCTTCGGCTACTCAAATATTTTACGTTTTTGATACTAAATTAACTTCTGAAGTATAATTTTTTATTGTTTTTATATTTTTCAATATATTTATTTTGTTTGTACAAAATAAAAAAATAATTTTTAACGATACAATAGTCTTCGTTAGGCTTAACATCGACGAAAATTGAACGCGAAGCGACACGCAACGGAGAAAAATTTCAACACGGGATAAATTAATATATTTTTTCGTACATAATTGGTTATACGAAAAATAAGTTATCCGAACAACCCAGTCCCCAATTGATTCGGATAAACGACGCTCTACTGTAATAATAATAATAATAATAAATTTTGTAAATTTTAATACTGTATTCAATTTGTAATTATTTATTTATTTATTTCATAACACTTTTTAATATGTTATTTGTAATTGAGATTAAGCTATTTTTTTGCATTCCACACTAAACGTAATGCTATTACTTGATATGAATTACAAAGTAAACTAATATAATAGCACAGAAAATATTAAAATTTGCAATATTTCGAAAGAATTTATTTGATCTAGAATCATCCCAATTTATAATATACGTTTATGAAAATACAATAGATTTATTTATTACGAAGAGTAATATGAAATATATAGGCCTATATATATATATATATATGAATAAATGATAAATGATACAAAATAAAAATGCCCAAAAATTTACTATAGGCTTACATATTTATTTTATGTAATTTTAATAAGATAAAAAATTATTCAGATAAAATCAGTTGTTAAACATGCAAGAACATATCTGAAAGGTATATAAAAAAAGCAATATTTAATATTTTAAAGTAATGAAAAAAGTAAATTAAAAAAGTCATAATAAAATAAATGCATAGATTAATCGAAATAATTAAATAAAGAAAATACATTTCATAAAGATTTAATGGAATTAGATCATTTAGAAACTACAAGTAGAGGGAATCTTACAGAGATCAAAATGTACAACTGAAAAGCTAATCAAAGCAAAAGTAGTATTAGTAAAAGTGTTTTACACATTAAAGAAAAGGAAAAAAATTGTGAGCATTTGATAGCAAGTATCTACTATCTCACTTCACGTATAGTATACTAGACTTCGCTTATTATAATCACTAGAAATTTAATAATAATCGACTAATAAAATTAAGCAGGATAAGTAAGCAAGATTAAATTAGAGAAAATTCTGGTTTCATTCATTCTAACATTAAAAAGACACATTAAAACAATTTGAAAAATTTATATCTTAAACATTTTTTAATTATAATTATGTATATAATTCATCTAGTATTATATACATAATAAATTGTTACCAACTTCGACGACATCTAGCATAATATTAGCGTTTTAAATTATTTTATTGCGAACGAATATCGATTAAAGACAATTAACGTTTATCAGTATAATAATAATCAAAATAATTTATTAAAAGTTGTAGATAATAAAAGAACGAAAACAGAGCGTAAAAAGACTTATTTATCCCGAAGATAATGATAATAACTGAATTCTGATTACAATAATCGAAATTTTATAGTGTATTTTAACTTATATACTACGTATTTTGAAACATAATATTGTATTGTTGATAAAAATAACAGACTGATAACATTGTCTGTGACTACAATATGAGAAGTCTGTTATATTTAGCGAGATGGTAAGATTTTGTCGTGTAACAGTTCATAAATTAAAAATAAAAAATTGAAAGTGAAATTTACACCGACAGCAGAACAGTGCAAAGGTCTCGACAGATAATCACTGTTAAGTTAATTGGAAGTGAGATTATTATTATTATTATTATTTCATCAGAAATGCTTCAAATTAGGTGGAAGGATTAGATTTACGTAAGAACTTCTTAGAAAGAAAAGATGTTAAAATCGATTGTTAGTTAAAGATTCGTTTAAAAAAGATTATTATATTTCATTATAAAAATATTTTATTTTGTATTCAAGGGAAAAAGATATGAAAAAAGATAGGGAAAAATAAAAATAAAAAAGGAGAGTCCGTCGTCGTTGCTTGGAAATTGCCTTCAGCTAAAAATTTTAACCAATAGTTTCCAGGAATTACGGAAAAATAAAAAGAAAGAATATATATAGTCTATATATATAATTATAAATTACATGAATATCATTTAACACATTTCAAAGTTATTTATTTTAGTTAATTTGTTGTTTTTCTTTCTGAAAGAATGCACATAAAGCAGATTTATTTTAAATGAGAAACTAAGCAATATTTAATGATTAAATGTATTGTTACTTAATTAACAAAAAACAAAACTCACTCAGCAAATAATTAATAGGTCATTAAAATGCACATTATGTTGCTGAGATAATTTATTTAAAGCTAAACTAACGTTTTCAGCCTATTTCAGCCTATTGTTACTCATCGAATATTACTTAAATTCAGCAAAATATTACACTATTTAGGAAAAGAATTACAGAAAATAACAACTTATCAAAAAAATAGAATAAACTTTTTTAAATTCAGAGAACAAGTTTAGTAAAATGAAACCAAAAATTTCAAAACTAAGAGACAGTGAGCAGCTATTAAGATAAAGATTGCTTTGGTTTTGAAAGCATTGCAAAAACTAAAGTCTATGTGAAAAAATATATGAGTATCACAAGCTCCATACAAGTTTTTTCTTTAGCTTAGTTGTTACTTATCGAATCGTACGTTGCATAACGAATAGCAAACGTATAGAATCGTCGTATGTTTTTGGAACCATGCATAAAATTGCTATTGAGAACTTATCACATAGGAACACTCTTCTTGATGGAAAAAGTAGAATTTTATTTTCTAAAAAAGAAATAAAGGATATGCATTAAAAACAATTAAATATACTCTGTAATTTCTTATATAGTTTTACCATTACACATAACAAGAACTGAAGAGGGGCTATGGCCCGAAATGCATATTAGGGAGAACAGTAATTAGTCAAGTATAGACTCGTATCTTGCCTTCACACCATTTTTATACATCTGTAATACTATTTTGATTTCATCGAACTTTTGTCTTCTGTCATCATGATTATCAACGCACTTCGGAAAAGGGCATACTATACTATGTATCTTCGCTTTGACACTCGGAAATCGTTACGTTGCCTTTCCAACTCGCTTCTCCACAATGCGAACACTTCCAAACTTCGACTAGTAGCACCACAAACATATAAATATCTCCCAATTTATGTATATTGCGGTAACGTAGAAAACCATCAAATTACCAAATAGTTTGTCAAGTTGGAAGTAAGGATACTTCGCGAACTGCTTCCAAGCATTTAACTGCTAATAGGAACGTAAAAAATGCTGTTGACCATTTCCTTAGATATTAGAAATGTTGTTCTTAATTTGTAAAAATTGCCTCTTTTAAAACGCAAACATGTTTCCCACATATGGCAAACGGTCGTATATTTACGCAAATACTTCTGTTATTATAAAAACCATCTCTTCGTGTTTAGGCCTACAAAACTGGGCTTATTTTTTTCCCCAGTCTTTTTCCCTTTTTACAAATCTTTTAGTTTTGAAATGTTTGTCTCATTTTACTAAACTTGTTCTCTGAATTTAAAAAGTTTACTCTATTTCTTGATAAGTTGTTCTTATTTTCTGCAATCCTTAAATACAGATAGATTTTTCTAAATATGAATCTGTAAAAAATTGATTAAGCGAGAGATGTGAATAAAATTTGAAAATAGTAATAATAATTTCATATAATTGTGAGCGTTAGTTAAAGATACGTTTTGAATTTAAAAATTTAAATAAAATACTGTATTTTCGTTCATCCACACTCATCTTATCTACAGTATATTTGTCCGATCTAAATCGTTTTATTAGAAAATGTACTGTAGTTTCTGAAAAATCTACGTTATAATATAATAAAATATAATAAAAATAAATCAAGGGATAGGCATAGATATATTTTTCAATTGTTAATAATTAATTAAAATTCATTTATAATTTATAAGTAATTTCTTTCTATAATTTTTAAGAGAAAATATTAAAATACAAGTTAATTGCTTTAATTTAAAGTTTTATTAACGTTTTAGTAAGACATATATAGAAAACTTTCCAATAATTTAAATATTCTATTGCTATTCTATTTAAAAAAATCATTTTTAACTGGAAAAAAATATAAAAAATTTTATTTTTACAGCTTGAACTAAGATACAATTTTGTTCAATATAGTCCTAATGATATTAAAATGTAATGTAATCAATATTGCTTTAGTTAAAACTAAAATTAGTTTCTACAATTACAAATAATAGTTTATAATAGTTAAAAATTGAATTGTAAATTGTTTTCAATATCAGTTAATTAGTAAACCCTGAAAAGATCGTTTAAATCACGATGTAGGCCTGTATCTTGTCTATTTTCATATTTACTGCTCTTAAAATAACATTACAAAAACTGTTACATGAGTAAAGGCATTAAATTCTTATGCAAAAACTTGAAATCGTTATATTTTTCTCATTATTTAGCATTTTAGCGAAGATTTTAAACAGATGTTAAGTATTTAATTTACATGTTTTTTTTTTAATACAAAGTTTCTACTAAAAATGTGTCAATTATTTAAATAAAAGTCATTCATTTTTCTCCCTTCACATTTAGATACGAAGCATATCAACAGTAAGTTAATTGATAGCAATGTATAGTCGAAATTAATGTGAATGCCCTACGACTTCATATTTTTCAAAATAAGAATTAATGGCCTTAGGAATAAAATGATAAAATGGTCATTTATGAGTTACTTAATTACGTCTTCTCACGTGAATGCGTTAAGTTTAAATTAAACTAAATATACAAAATTAATTAGGTAATTTTAAGTATGCCATAAGCGTATGCCTTATTATTTCTTAGTCACATTTTTTATATTTTATTGGTATTAATTTTATTCAGTACTATAATTTATACAAAAACAAATTTAGTTGTATGTAACGAACTTATACATTTTTTTGAGAATGTTAATAAAATTTAAAAATATGAAGTCATATCGATAAAAGAAAATAAATTTATTTGTTTTAATCATATAAATTGTAGCTTAAATTTAAATTTAATTTTGAAATATATAGCCTACTTTATTAGTCTTTATATTGAATAGTTTTGAAATTTTATCTTATTTTAAAATAAAGATAATAATATGTCTTACTAAACTGATCCTATTAGTTTGAATGACAAATGTATCTCTAAGTATTTTCCAACACCTTATTGCTTGTTGATCTACCAGTTATCTAATAGTTCAACGTTTAGAACAAGAATATATCCTTAGGACATCCGCAACAATTCATATATACAAAATCATAATGATTGTGACTATCATTTATAACAAGATTTGAATAGAAAATACATCAAAATCGCTACGTTAAAGTCTTTAGAAGTCATTTAAAAAGTAAAGAATCGAAGAGGAAAATTACTATTGTGGTGTGGAATTAGACGATCATTTTCTAACTTCTGATAAAGATCTAAAGGTGAGAAAATAAGTAGGATTTTAAAGCTTGAGATCCTGTAAAATAATAGAAATCAAATTATACCGTTTAAAGAACTGTATATTCATATTTATTTTCTTATGATAAATTGCTTTGCAATTTAATTTATTCGTTCATTTGTATAAAATAAAAAGTTTAATTTTGTAATTTACAATTACGCATCGTAAAATTTTAAATTTTATATTGACATTAATGAGCTTTGAGCATTACACAGAAATTTTATTTTAAATTTTTATAGAGATATATAAATATTTTTAGAAACTTAAATACATTATATCTCTGATGTTCCAATTGCGAATGTACCGTTATATTAATATATATTACATTAGAGCTATTTGCTTTGATATTTTGTTAAATTAACGTTTAAACTAAGCTTTAATAAATAAATAACGCCTATTGTAATGTTTTATATTCTACATAAAAGTACTATCTTTGATTAAATTATAAAGAATAGCTTTTAATTTTTCAATGTTCATAATAATAATTTTTAACGTAATACGCGGTAGATCTACTGTATATATAGTAAAATTATGCGTTTATTTTCTCTTAATTAATATTTCTTACTTTAATTCCATGTTATTTTTATTAAATATAAAGTTTTAATTGTAAGTATTATTATATTTATGTACTTTTTAATTTATTGAAGATTGCTATACATAATAATGTATAGCAAGTGTACAAAAATAAATTTACAGTCTACTGTAACTATATAATGTAGAGAAGTAAATTTAATTTATAGCAAAATTTATTTAAAGATAATAAAAATTGTTTTAAAATAATTACGTACTGCAATAATAAAATTAACACAGGAAACGCTAATCTCTATTTAAAATGTTTAATAAATGCAGTTATTAAATATTTTAATTATAAATTTGCATTTTCTTTAGGTGAGTACTAATAACTATGCAAATATTTTTGAGATTTTAAGCAAGATTATCATAATTTACAAAATATTTTTTGCAAAATTCAATGATTATTATTCCTTCTAGCTAATGTAACAAAATTTCACAAGAATTAAAATTAATCTATCAAAACCATTTACTATTCAGTAGATATCCGCTTCACGCTTATAAGTACAATAATCCTATCAATTCTTTATACAAAAAAATGTATTGCGAAAAATATAATAAAATATTTAATACAGTATTCGATTCAATACAGCATGCTACAGGCGTATATCTTATGAAAAATATATAAGATAATAAAATGCTTATTCTTTACAAATTAGAAGCATAATTTATTTAATTTTATCAAGTAAAATAAGCAAAATACATATAGAAAATGTGACATTACTTATGAAGCGGCATTTACACTTACGAGTAACGCGTATATGAACTTTCTATTCGTATCGTTTACACATATCTCTCATACAAATACAGCGTTGTTATACGAGTTTCCCGTAGGTGTAAACGCCTCAGTTCACCGCTTTGGAGGCCCCGGAATCGAAACCGGGAGAACAACCCCAGAAATTTTTAATGGGCGGTCTGTCCCGCATTTGTTGGTCTCGTCCTTCACCACCCGGACGTTCACATTTTGAGCCTGAACCCACGACTAATATGGAAAAAAGGTCCTCTTAGTACGTGCAAGATGGAAAGAACCTAAAAAAAAAGAGTCCGCTATGATAAAATATATTTAAATTTACAAAATTTAGAAAGATTTCGTTTGAAAGTTTAAATTAAATTTCAGTATTATGATAATTTTCATATTGTAAAATTCACGTCTTAAATCATATAATTAATATACTCTAATGTACTGTACTTTAATTTAATAAACCGAATAAGTTATAACAGTGCAGATCAATTAATATACCAATAAATTATATGCTTAATTTATTTAAAATGTGTATGAAAAATAAATAGTAATGCTTAGTTTATAAAATAAATTTATTTATTATTAATTTAGATAACATAATTGCCATTTACAGAAATGATATAAAAATAATTGTAGATAATAAGTATTTATATTTAATTAGGAATTAATGGGAAGATATTATATGCCATCGAAGCTGGAAATGACGAAGAGAAATTCCAAATAGATTCTCTTAGTGGAGTAGTCACAATTGCCGGTTCGTTGGATTATGAATCTGTTAGAGAATATCAATTATCAGTTATAGCTAGAGATCAAGCGTTTTACAGTCTCAATAGTTCTGCTTTGCTGAAAGTTGTCATAACAGACATTAATGACAACCCTCCTATTTTTAATAATAGTGAGTTGGAAGTTACTATCGACGAAAATTTACCACCTAATACAATAATTACGGTTCTTGCAGCAACAGATAAGGATACCGGAAGGCATTCTATTATTCACTATTACCTAGAAGAAAAAGAATACGCTAAATATTTTCATTTAGATCGTGATACAGGTGTTTTGACTTCACTTTTTGAACTGGATTACGAGCAAAGAAATAAATACGAATTATTAGCGAAAGCAAAAAATCCTGATTCGTATCTTGAAAGTGAAATATTAATTGCAATTAATATTTGTGGTATTAACGAATTTTATCCAAAATTTATCCAACCAGTTTTTCGCTTTGCAGTCAGCGAATCGTCTCCTATTGGAACCTCAGTTGGAACGGTTTTGGCAATTGATGATGATGGAGCAGATGACGGAATGGTTTATTACATTCTCCTCGGAGGAAATAAAAACGGACAAATGAGTTTTGGTTTAGACATCAAAACGGGCGTAGTTTTTTTGACTCGAAAACTCGATAGAGAGTCTCAGTCTAATGTTACTTTTAATGTTCTTGCAAAGAATTTAGGGAGCGTTAGAGCTAACAATACAGATACTTGTGAAGTTCGTATCTTTATTCAAGACTTCAATGACCCTCCAGTATTTTCTAGTTCGGTGTACGAAGTTCGGATTAGTGAAGATGTCTCAATCAATACAGTTGTGGTTCGAGTTTCGGCAACAGATTCTGATGAACATCCTCAACATAATCAATTCGTTTTTTCAATCGTATCCGGAAATGTAGGAGGAGCTTTTCAAATCGACGAAATGACAGGAATAGTGACAGTTAAATTACCATTAGATAGAGAAGTAACTGATAAGTATTTATTGATAGTGACAGCGACAGATATTGGAACTCCGCCTCAAACAGGTACTACAAACGTCTATATACATTTAGAAGATGTGAACGATAACGGTCCTTACTTAGATGAAGAAGAACTTATTGGTCAAGTTTACGAGGGAGAACCGATTGGTACTGTAGTCATGACATTAAACGCTAGAGATCACGACTTACCACCAAATACTTTTCCTTATAAGTATAGTCTAGTTGGAAAAGGTGTAAAATATTTTCAAATTGAGAGGACTACGGGACGTTTAAAGACTTTAGTCGTTTTAGACAGAGCAATAATTTCTTTTGTAGATCTGTTACTAGAGATTGAAGATAGTGGTCAATCACCAATGAAATCCTCTTATACATTACGTATTTTTGTGTTAGATCGTAATAACAATCCTCCAATTCCTAGAAATATGAATATAATCGTCTGGTGGCAAGAAAATAATTTTCATCATGGAGTCATTGCAAATGTACGACCTTTTGATCCGGATACTACAGGTGAATATCGATGCAGATTAGTAGGCGATAGCTTAGGTTTTGAAATAGTTTCTGAATGCAATCTCAACACATTTAAAGTAAGGAACGCAGTTCTAAATGTTTCGGCAGACGACGGAGTCCATTCTGAAGTCACATCATTGATTAAAGTTCAGTTTATATCTTTCGATAACGATACCTTATCGAACAGCATAAGCATAATTTGGAAAAATAGCACAACTGACCAATTTTTAGAAAATAATTTGGAAATATTCACGAAGAAATTGGAGAGTATTTTTAAGGTGAGTTATTTCTTGATTAAAACTCCGGTAAGTTTATAAATTTCTGAAGTAAAACGTCAATTATTATAGTAAGCGTATTGTAAAAATTATCATCTCACGCAAATGATTTATAATAAATTTTATTTTTTTATCTTTAGGACAGCGGTAAGCCGATTATATTTTCTATAACACAGAAAGAAAACGATACTGAAATTCAGTTATCCGTTAGGACTGCTAAAGGTAAATACTTATTACCAAAAATAGTAAGAGATAAAACACAAGACTTAAATTCATCTTTTGATGTTGAAATCGGATACGATCCGTGCAAAGAAAATCCTTGCAAGAATGATGGAAAATGTCAAAACATTTTATTTTCCGAGAAAAGATACAGTTTATCTTCCTCTCCTCATTTGGCATTAGCAACACCTTTTTTCCAACGAAAACTTCAATGTTATTGTCTTTCGAGTTATTCGGGTTTCTTTTGCGACGATATGGTGGATCCTTGCGCCAAAAGTCCTTGTCTCCACGGCGGAAAATGTAAAGCAAACGGTTCCCAATATAATTGTTCGTGTCCGAATAACTACAAAGGAAAAATATGCGAATTCCCCGATTCTCGATTATGCTCGAGTAACCCCTGTATGCATGGAGGAACGTGCGAAGAAGTCGGATCAGAAAATTATTTCTGTCTTTGTCGATCTGGTTATCGAGGAACACATTGCGAATCTATTACGGATATCTGCAGGCCAAATAGATGTGTAAATGGAGGAACTTGTATCGTTAATAAAATAGGTAAATCTATAATAGCTTACTAGTGTTATATAGTCTATATTACTAAATTTATTAACTCGTACTTTTTAGGTTATATTTGCCAATGCAGTCCACGCTTCTTCGGAAGACATTGCGAAAAGTCAACATGGGGATTCTATCCTTTTTCTTATATGGAATTTCCTCCCATCGACATTTCTTCCATTGATTTATCTATCACATTCGCTACCAACCAGACTAATTCTCTTTTGATATACAGCAGAACCGAAGACGAATCATTCTTTGTTGCTTTAGAAATCGTTCAGAATAAACTAAAATTAACGTACGGTTCAGTTCGAAGTCACGTGGTTGTAATATCACAAAGAATTGTCAATGACAAAAAATGGCACAGAGTCGTTGCAAATAAGTTCGGAAAGGTAGATTTAATACGTATTTTTAATTTAATAGATTTATAATTAATTATTATTGAAGTTTTCTGATTGTGAAAATAACTAAAACTTTTATAGGAGCTTTGGTTGGGAGTGGTCGATTGCGCGGATCACGGTTCTTCTTGTGAAGAATGCAAGTTCGGAAACAGTAGCTGTTCTTGGTTCGCTTCAATTTTTTTCGAGTAAGTTCCTTTTTTAATAATTATAAAGAATATTTTTCATGATTCATTAACGTTTTTTTATTTTATAAAAATTTTTACAAGCCAGTTTTTTTTAAAATTAAATACTTAATTCTGTTACTTTTATCGAGAATTTTTAATGAATAATTGCATCCGTTATCGATAGATGGCAGCACTTTGCATAGATGCACTCGGAGTCGTGTAGTTACGGTGGGGGAAAAAAATTTGTGTTGATACAAACCTAACACGTATTTTTTAAAACTGCTTTTCCAAAGAGAAACGATTTTAATTTGGAATATCACTTAAGAACTTTATGTATTTTTTGAAAATATATTTTTTTATTTGAATATAAATTTTATATTCTCAAAAATAAATAAAATGATTCTCTATCTAAAAGTTATTTCTCCTTATGAAAACAATTTTAAAAGCGAATTACGTCAATTTTCGCGTTAGCTCGCAAGTGGACGAAATATTAATGTTAAACGATTTTGCTAAATAGCTTTTAAAACTTTTAAATTAACTAAATTCTCGATTATAATTATTTATTTCGGTTGAAAATATTCTCAGAAATGTCGCTGAAACTTTAAAAAGACATGACAAAATCAAAAAGAAGTTGAAAATGACTTTTATTGAAGATCTTAAGATTAATCTTACGATAAGATTGGTCGCATTTTTGTAAGTTGATCCAATAATTTAGGCTTATCGCTGCATCGCTTGACTTGAATTATGCGTGATGGTTTCATCACACGACTTTATAGGTCTATGTTACAAAGAGTAGACATAATTTTTTACATTTCTTTTCAACAGATAGGCCTATATCAACTATTCCAAAAAAAATACATACCAATCCATTTTTCTCAATTATAAGCATATTTTTGTGTGTCAACCAGTTATTATTTAACCGAAACGATTTTTGTTATAGGGTTTCCGTTTCCTCTTGCCTCCCGCCCTTGTTATCTTTAGCAGAAACAACTCCTCGAGTCCTTTAGCATCTGGGTCAAAGAAACTAATAGGTTGTTGATAATGTCGTTTGCTAACGGATAAACAATATAAACCTAAATGATGACTTAAAATGTAGCCGAACAACCAGTATTTAGTTAGCTACACGAAAACATAACTTATGGCCTTTTATTTTAACTAAGTTTCGATAATAATTTTAATATCTAACGAACTATAATGTTTTTTATAATGTTGTCTGTATGAAACAACATTCTAAAAGTTGATTTGATTAATCTGTTCTGCGTACGTTTTATCCACTGCTCAAGTAACGCGATGCAGGCCAAATATATTACAGTTTCGTTAACTTGTATCGAATATACAATGTTTCTAGTTCATGTCAAATTATATTGTTGATTAAAATGATCGATTATAACTTAGAATGAGTTTATTCTCTATCATTGAAATTAATGGAGGCATTTGATAAGTTATCTCATGTCAAATTCTGCCAACGTTTCTCGTTGACAATGGCTTATAAATTTTCTGTTGTTACAATACACTTGATGAAAACGGAAACAATGTAATTACATTTATACAGGATGTCGAGTAGATTAAATCATCAATTGTGTTTAATAAGGTAGCAAACAATTCTAAATTGATAACGAAGGAGTGATTCGTTTTGTAAAAATGTATTTGATAAATGCTTTTATATGCAGACTGCAGTAAACTCTTGCTAAATCGGATTCTGCATAACAGACAAATTTTTTTCTTTGTAATTTCTTGATAACTAACGAGTGTTTTCGACATCCGGAAATCTTCGCGATACGTACAGTACAGTACTGTATATTACTGTACTCGATAAATTAGTGAAAATTGTACATTGTTCCATACTATACTGTCATGAAACTTTTTGAGCTCATTTCCTGTAATATTAAGTTTAGCAGTAGAACTTCTGTATTAAGGCCTACTGTATATCCACATCGTCGGAGAAAACACTCTGCTACTCGGACAACCTTCATTCTGTATTAGTCCGCATTAGCGGGAGTTTACAGTAATTTAGAGTTACTTGTTAAATTTATTTTTAATTATTTATTTCTATAAAGTAGTTAATATTTGGCAACTTTAAAATAATTTTTTACAGGACGATTAATTCGGCGTCTAGTGCGCTTTATTTGGGAGGTATACCAACTTTAGATACCATTTCTGCCAATCAGCGTCATTTTTTATCTTCAAACGACTATGTAGGATGTTTAAGAGAATTTACTGTAAGTGGTAAAACAATGGATTTGGCTGTACCTTTATCGTCCCAATATGTAAAATCTAATTGCGGCCGGATCGACAGCTGTGATGATTCTTCTACGTGTGGAGCAGGTATTATTTGTCAGAATAAATGGTTCACCAAATCGTGTCATTGTCTTGAAAATGCAATTGCTCCTAACTGTGACGAAGGTTTATGGAATTTTAATTTTTTTTTTTTTTTTTTAAAAACATTTATAACAAACTAACGTTTTTCAATTCTGTTAGCTTTTCAACCGATAACTTTAGAAGATCCGGGATCTTATTTAGAACTAATTCCTCAAGAGAAATTTCGAAGATTTCAACTTGACGATGATCATAAGCATTACTTCAGTTTTCATTTTAGAACAAGGTCGATACATGGATATCTTTTTAACGCACAGACTAAAGACGGATACAGTTCTTTATTGGTAAGAACGATTGAAAGTGTTAGAAAGTAGGCCTATAGATTTAATATAAAATAAACTACCGATATTATTCGCTTATAAAATAAATATAAAGTATAGTAATTTATTTAGCCATAAAATTATAGAAATAATAAAGATATATTCAATTGAATTATTGATATACTATATATCGTACTTAATGGAATTAAGTAGTTAAATGTAGATGTAATTAAACATGTTCAGGCATAACTTGCAAGATAATAAGTTTAAAGATCCATGCCATATATTCATCACCTACATAATCAATCATTAAGTTAACATTCTTCTCAGTTATTTTAAACTTGTCGTGTAAGATAAGTATAAAAGCTTTCCGGAAAAATTTCTAGAAATTTGAAAAGCTTTTTTTCAGTATGTCAATTCTTTCTCTCTCAATGTATCTATGGAACAGTTTTGATAATTAAACTGATTTTCCATTGTCATACTAATTGTATTTAAATGGCAGAAACCAGGCAGTATTTCAAACGCAAAGCGTAATCTGTTATCGATGAACTCAAATATTAAAATATTAATTTAAAATTCTATTTGTTTACACTGATAAATACTTCTTGTTAGAGAAACCTAGCAACGAGTCGCGTAACTTTCCCAGCGAAAACACTAAAACATAGCACAAAATTAAAATTGTTTATGGCGCCATCTATTATGAGATTTTGTTAAAAATAACTTATATTATTATTATTATAAAGTGGCAAAAAACTTTAGTTTGAGAGTACAGATGAGTTTTATTTTTTATAAAAATAAAAATTGTAAATGCTAATAACGAGAGAAATTTCATTAAGTCCGATCCCACTCGAGATATGACACACGACCCCCCTCTATCTTTCTTCTCCCTTGTCCTTTAACCACCAAAATTTAACAGTCCTTCATATACAAGTTATCGTTCCAAATTTCCCCATCCTGAGATATTAAACGAAATAGACGCCAAAACACACACGCGCGGAATTTTTTCTTTCTCTTTTTTTACTTTTTTGGGTTCAGGAAGCCTCAAAATGTCGAGATTTTAAAAACCCGGAGGATCAAATTTGACACGATTCCAATACTTTCCCTCGTCGGGAAAGTAAAAGGAAAGTTAAGCAAAATTTAATTTGGTACATTCAAAGCCGATCGCTGAAATATTAAGTGTGAAGAGGTAAATTCTGTCACGTAAAACTACACGAAACGGAGAAATATTACTATTCAATGCACCCAGTTATATATTACGTCTGTCAGAATAACATCTGTCATTGCCCATTTTATAAGTTTTAGTTAAACACGTTATTTGAAATTTAATGTTGACAAAACTTTAAAAATTTCATTTCTTCTTGCTTTATCGTCACTGTACAGTTCAATAATATATAGGCCTATATCTGCAGGCATGGGCGTCCGCAGAGGGGAGCAAACGGGGTACTTGACCTCCCCTGGGATCGAGTAAAATATTCCACAAATTGTAATCATAAAAGTGATTGAGATACGTAACCTTTCACCCTCGACCATCGGACGCTTTGATGAAATACTGTATTCCATAATCTACTTGTGAAAAAAACCCAAAAAATTAAATAAAAAGTTATTGATGTAATTATTTGTCTTCAAGCTTTGCTCCCCACTGGAAAATTTTCTGTGGACGCCCATGTCTGCAGGCTCGTCGATAATGTAGCAAATTACTTTAATAAATCTTCCTAATTTACTATTACTATTCATATTGCTGTTCTATACATTTCATATTCTATTCGTATACATTTAACATTTTATTATTTAAATTTTTATATTAGTTTGACGGGAAATCGGACATTTATAACGAGTAATAAGACATTGAGAATTAGTTATTATATAAGAGTTTGTACTTAATCTCTCAACCATATGCAAGCTATTTTGTTACAGTTGTAAATAGACAGGTTTTTCTCTTAAAAGAAAAAAATTTATTCACTTAAATTTCAAAGTTATTATGAAAGTAATTAAACATTAAATGTTTATGGTTAAATATTATTAGATATAGTTAGTTAAGTAATGATTAATTTAATAGTAAAATATAATTACAGTGTATTTCCCTTATAAATTAATCATATATTTAAATTGTTCTTATAATTATATTTTATTTCCAATTTACAGCACCAATGACAATTTTTAAAAATAAAATTAGCTTTATCATTCACTTTAATAAAAACTGAATACGTTACCTAAATAGACTCTATATAAAAATTACAAATAATTTCTTCTTATTTCCAGATCAAAAATATCTTCTCTAATCTACCAAAGTAGTAAGAAAATATAATTTCTATGGAATTTATTCCTTCATTTTTCATACTAAATATCTTATTTATTCTAATAAACCGCGCACTGTTTACTTGTAAATAATCAATTTAAGTGACGAAATATTCGATGCAACGAGCGTCAACTGATATTTACGAGAATAAAATATTCTAATTACGGACACAATGAGACTAACAAGTAAGATAACTTACGCACGTAAGTTATCTTACTTGGATCGTAGTATCCATTTTCTTTGTTTCATTCACATTGTAAACTGTACGGTAAATTGTTCCTCCTCAAACGTATTTTGTAAATACCATTTTACAAAAATTAGGATTAGAAACGAGTACAATATAGAACAGGTATACCTTATTTTTATATCCAATAAAATAATCAATCCGCTGAAGTATTGTGGCACACTAGACTATTAGGGCATCTCTGTTGAAAACAACTGGATTAATATAATGAAAATATTTCATAGTTTACAGACTGTAATTATACATACTTTTTCTATAAACAATATTACTACTGTTAGACCATTATTTTTATTACAAAATTATTATTTTTTAATTAATATAATCTTAACTATCTGTAATTAAATATAACTGTCTATCTATAATTATATACAAGTTTTTATTATTTAAATTACTTAAACATATATTTGCATTTAATATTATATATTTATCATTTTTATTAGATTGAAAAAGGAAAACTGCTATACATGTCAAATTATGTGAGTAATGTAAAACAAGTTATTAGTAGTATAAATTTAGTTGATGGCCAGTGGCATTCAATAAGTATCCAATATGTCGGAAACGAACATCTTTCGTCTATCAACATGAGTGTTGATGGTTTATGGAAAACAGTAGAATCTAGTCACAATTTTCTTACCATGAAATTAAATAAACTGACTATTGGTAATGAAGAATCATCTTTCATAGGTAATTTATTTATTTATATTGTATATATGTAATTTATATACTGTATATATTGTATAATTTTAATTCTATTTCAATTAATTAAAAAAGATATGAATACAATTAACTTCTCAATTATAGGTATTTAATTTTCTTGTTTAATATTAACTTTGCTTAAATAATTTTTATAAAAATAAAATTTAAAATAATAATTTAAGTAAATTAAATGTTATTTTTAATTAATTATTTATTTAAATGAATAAAACAAGTAATGTTCAATAGTATTTGTTACACTTCAATAACTATTAAAACTATGCAAAATTTCCAGCGGTCATTGCAAAATGTTTAATTTTGCTGATAAATAGACTTTTAGGAAGAAATTGGATCTATTTCATATAAGCCTAGATGGGAAAGCTTATTATTTTAAGAATTGTAAGCTTACATTGTATCAAAACAAATTTTATGACAGAAAATATGACCTTTTNGAAAGGTTTAGAAACAAAATAAAGAACTTCAAGGGTTTTCAGGAAAAGGAAAATAACAGACGTGGAAGACTCTTCACTCAGGAGCAAAGACAACAGCAGAGCGAGAGAATGAAGAGGTATTGGAAAGAAAGGAAGAAGAACAAAGGGAAGGGAAGAGGGAAAAGCAAGTCATAATTAGTTGTTTGTACGTGGTCCAAAGATGGCCGGAATCGACACAAGAAGAAGAAGAAGAACTTTAACCAAAAACTTTAACCAAAAAAATTTTGCTGTTGTGGGAGTCAATTCTTCCCACAACAGCAAAATTTAAAATTTGAAAATGAAAATATAATACTGATCATTTTTTATACCCGATTTCAGGGGTTCCACCTTCGTCCTTTTTACTTTCTTAACTTTATTACGTATATAAAAGAAAAAGTACAGTGTTACCTCAGGATACGAAATTAATTCGTTCCGAAACTGAGATCGTGTCATGAAAATGTCGTAAGGTGAATCATTTTTTCCCATACGATTACATGTAAAACCAAATAATTCGTTCCAACACGAAAAAAACACTCAAACTAAAGCTAAGTTGTACATTAAAAAAATAACTATAGTAAGGAAAACATTGAAAAATGCGTTTTGTAGTTGTAAATGTATAAATAACCATAATATAATAATAATTGATTTAAAAAAATGTAGTTTTATTTGCACTTTACCTTTGAGGATAGACGATGGTGAAGGTGTAAACTGGTGGCAGAGGAGAGGGAGAAGGGAAATGATACTAAAACTTAACTTACATAACATAATGTAACAATAACTTAAAAATAACTTAACACTAATTTGTTAATCTTTTATGTTTCATATATTTTTTTTTTTAATTTTTTATTCACTGCTTTTCTGCTTTCTTTCCTTCACTTCCACCAGCACTTTCACTGGATCGAGGTCGCTTGGTAAAATATCTATCCAAAGAGGTTTGGCTTTGCCTACTTTTTAAAATGTTTCTAAAATGACTTAGGAAAATGTCATTACTCTGAGCAGCAATACGGCCAGTGTGAACCTTTTTGGGATGTTTCTTTTCAATAAAATCAGTCACTTTCTGATAATACCTCAAAATTTCCTTTATCGAGCGAGATCCATCCACGACGAAGCAAACAAGTGAATAAAAAATGATGCTGCGAACTAATGTAACGTCGTATGGTGAGCAAAAATATAACGTTCGTATAGTAAAGCAAAAATATGTTCGAATTTCATGTCGTGTCCTGAAAATTTCGTATGCTGGAGCGTTCGTATCCTGAGATACCATTGTATTGGAATCGTGTCAAATTCGACCTTCCGAGTTTTTTGCAAATCTACACGTTTGGCGACTTCCTGAACCCAAAAAATGTCAAATAAAGAGGGGAAAATTTGTGTGTGTGAGTGCGTGTGTTGATATCTAATTTGTTTAATTTCTTTATTCTCTGTTCTGAGACATTGAACAATATCTCAGAATGGGTATAAAGCTTAAGAAACGAAATTTGATACGGTAGATCGTGTATAAAGGGGCATTAATGCTATTAAATTTTGGTTCTTAACTGAAGGTCGACAGAGTGGAGACACAGAAGAAGTCATGTGTCTCCACTCTGCGAACGAAAAGCAAGAAACAATGAAAATGAAGAAATAAATCTTATCAAGGACAAATATCCTGTTTTCCCTATATGTAGGAAAGTAAATGCTCTTCCTCTTGAGCCTTTAAGAGTCTTTCTAGAAACTACATCATTCATATAACATGATACTTTCGAAGTGGTCGGCTTCATGGAAAGCATTATAGTTTCGGAAGCAATGAATCGTTGATAACAAACTCGTGTAACAGTTATTTTTACCAATAGTGTCTTTGTTTTTTTTTATTTATTTTGTAGATATACATATGTATATCCACAAACTAAAAATAATAAATTATAATGTATTTAAGTCTAACTCGTATATTGTTTGTATTGTATTGTGATATTTACGATCTTATTAAAATAATAGTACTTTCCGTAACTCAAATTTTTCTCTGTGCTTCCACTTCAAAATATCGAGGGTCTACTGTATTTGAGCTTTAAATTTCGAATCGTTTAATATCATTTCTGTTTTAGTAATTATATATTAATTTTTTTAATTTTATAATTTTTTATTTTAATTGACTATCAGAAATAACACATAATTGGAAATATAAATTATAATTCTTTCAAAACTGTAAATAAGCTATAAATAATTTTTATTTTTAATTCTTCATATTAATAATTAATTGTTAATATTTTAAATGCACAACGGTTAAAGTATAAAATTTAACTACGAAATCAACTTTATGATTATTTATCATATTGCATTAAAATACAGTGTGACCAATAAGTCGCTTGCTAAATGGGGGTAATCACTGTTCTTATTGTTTCAGGTGTATAACGACCGGAAGTAGTCATACTGGCCCCTTAACAACGAGTGGAACTTATTTTATTGAGTGGGACAATCACAGAACAACACGGAAAACTGCACAGAAATTCCATTGTAGCCACCTAGATCTTCCCGATCTTTCACAGCTGTTGGCGATATTCTAGTGAAATTTAAGAAAACGTTGCGTGTCCTAGATGAAAACAAGCTTCATTCGTTATTTAGGGGTCAACATGATTATTTCCGATCGCTGTTGCACCTGGAACAATAAGAACAGTGATTTAGCAAGCGATTTTTTGGCCAAACTGTATTTATTATAGTAAATGAATAAAAAAAGAAAGATTAATTGTGCCTTTATATATTTAATAAATAAATTAAAATGTTTCTTTCAAGAAATCCTAATTTTTAAAAAATTAAATTTATTTTTCAGGTTGTGTCAAAATGATCATTCTTAACAATGAAGTACAAACAGATGTATTGGATTCGAATTTTAATTACTTTGAAGTTAAAATTCGAGGATCTGCCAGAAAAGGGTTCTGTAGTTCTCTTATTTATGATCGTCCTCTTTTGGCTACCGATCCTCTTAATATTGGAATAATTCTAGTGATAATTTTCTTCGCTATACTTATTGTCTCCATTTTAATTAGCTTTCTCATGTATCAGTATCATAGCAGAAAACAGGCAAAAGAAAAAACCTCAAATCAAACCAAACAACAAATAAACCCATCAAGAACAGAACCACCTTCTCAAACAGAATCATCAAATAATCAAGATTCTTTAAATAGAAACGTTAGAATTACACAGGATTTGGTTCCAAAAACGGAATGTTCCCAGCGTCCGGATATCATTAGCAGAGATGTTCTTGAAAAAGTGTCAGAAGAGAATATGAAATCAGAACCATATAACTCAGAGCATAATTCTGAGAAATCTGCAACTTCTCTAGGATATCATTACAAAGGAAATAGAGAAGGTGCTCCGAGATTCACTAGCAGCCTTCAAATAACACAAAAAACTAGACGTGTTGTGCCTGGAGAATTGTCATCGAACAATCAAGATTTTCAAGCATCCAGAGTGGTCTCGTGTTGTGGAAGTTCTGATGCTTTGAAGGTAGCATCGGATGCGAGAGAAACTCAACAGTGTACTAAAAACATTGATTTAGTGAATACTTTAGATACAATTTCATCATCTAGCGATGATAACCCGTTGGTGGACAAATTTGGATGTTATCTAACTTCTTCTTATCAACAAGATTCTACAACAGACGAAAGTGGTAATGACTCGTTCACGTGCTCGGAGTTTGAATTTGACAAAAATGACGTAGCTCCGAATGATAATGAAGAAGTTAAGAACGATGTTAATAAATCGTTTAGTAAAGAACAATTTACTAAAATCACAAACAGTTCTGATATGAGATGGGAGAATTTGCTTAATTGGAGTCCTAATTACCAAAATTTAATAGGCGTATGTAAAGATATTGGTCAACTCCATCATTCCGGAATATCCGAAGACACCACTGCTGCTGATTATGTATAAAGTTTCATTGAAATATTTCTAAATCAGAGGTGTCGAATATGATTCGCGATTTATTAAATTTTTCTTTAAATGTTTCCTTGTCTAACTTTCCGTACAAAAATATGAAGCCAATGATCATTTCTTTATTGATTTATTAAATATCAATTTTCAATTAGGAATAATGCAGATCATAAAATAATTAAAAATATCAAGGAAAAATTAAATTAAAAATAATTTCATTGATATGCATGAAAAGTTTATATTTTTCAACAATCCGGAATAATTTATTACATTAAATAAAATCAATGTTAAACACTACTTCTATCTATAACATTCTAAAATGTCGTCCCTCTCTGTATATATTCTCATGCCAGTTCGAAAATTCATCTTAAATTACCTTCTAATTACGTTTAATAATTTTTGTTACAGTGATAAAAAATATGATTCGTATAAATCATTGATACAAAAATATTCAAGATCTGATTTCCGTAAAAGACCTACCTCAAGTGTTTTTTTCAATAATGCTGTAATTGTGCCATGTGATCATTTTGCTGATGTAATAAAATCTGACTATACAGTTTGTGAATAAAGATTTGTTTGGTTAATTTTGATGATTCTTTTCTGGTTAACTTTAAAAATGTTAGTGTCTTAATGATATAAAGTATATTAATCATTTATTACGGCACTTCATATATTTTGTCTTATTTATGTCCCATCTCTACGATTACTTCAGGCGCCGTACGATGTACGATAATTTCATAAATACGCTTTACTCCCAAAATAACCGTTAATTATTGAACAAATCCAATTAGCAATCAAATCGCCTTCTCATTAATATTTTGTGTCTTTTTTTCTCTAGTAGAGGGCGACTAAATTTTTATTTAGTTTTTACTTTCCCTGCTGTTATATATATAACAGGGGAAGTATAGTGATCGGTCAAAAAATTACCCCCACCCCAAGATAGTTACATTTTTGGATTCAGGACATCTTGAAATGTCAAGAAATAAAAAAAATTCGGTTTTTTTTTGTGTGTGTATGGATGTTAATGTGTGTGGGAGGTGCACTTTTTTGTTCACCCTATTTGAAGCTTAATAACTCTTTTACTTTTTGTCGAAAATTTCTGAAATTTTACAGGAAAGTTTGTGAATTAGGGGGATCGATGCTATTAAATTTTGGTCGTTAAAGTTCGAAGGATTGGGGAGATAAAAAGGGTCGTGTGTATCTCTAGTAGAGTCGGATTTAATGACGATTTTACTCGTTACGAGCACTTAAAATTTTTTATAAAGCTCATCCATACCCTCAAAATTCAACTTTTTGCTATTTTATAATAGTTAAAAACATAAAAAGCTTTTAAAATAAAATATCGCAACAGATGGCGCCACTAAGTTTTAAAAGTCGCCGGGGAAAGTTAAGTAACTCGTCAATCTAACTTGTAAAAGAAATTCAGCAACTGCTACCAGGATCGACCTTTTTCGTCTGGGTGGTCCTTTTCCTAATCCCAAGGATGCCCCAAATTTCATCATTAACAAACAACAGAAAATTCATGCTATCTAGCCTATTCTGCAAATAAAAAATGTTTTTAAACTATATTTTTTTCATCGTCCCATGCAGTTTCGTCGTATGTTGACCAAAACCACATTCCTTGTTTTCAAGGCCAAGTTAGCCCCAAATGCAACCATTGTCACCAGTGGCGTAGTGTGGGTGTCAGCCGCCCGGAGCGGAGGAAAATTTTGCCCACCCTTATTTAGGTATTTCAATTTAAAAGACTAAAATTTAGTTTAGTCACAGAACAAGCAATGAAAAATTCCATGCTAGTGCAGTGACCTGTTTAAAATAGCTCTATCGGATAGTGGTGGTGTATATGAATGCGAATGAATAGTACAAAAAAAAAAAAAGGTCAACAGGTTGAGCAGGATATCCTCGGATGAAATTACTAGTTCACCCGGAAGGCGAGTCGATTCCCGGACTGTCCAGATAATAGCACTATCGTAGGCGCGACGCAAATATAAATTAGAATGGTTCAAATTTTTACAAGATATTATTATTTATTGTGAAATTTTGCCGCCCCCACTACTCTACGCCACTGATTGCCACCTTGTGGGAGCGCTGATCCGACGTTGGATAATAGAGTTTGAAGCTTCTTGCATAATGTATGATGTCCTTTTATCATAATTTATACCCCCGTTTTTATAGTCTGCTTGGCAACTACTGTATATTCTCGATTATAAGGTGCACCTTTTTCAACTATTTGAGACTGTTTACTAAACTTTTAGACCACTGATGAAATGCTCAAATTGATATGCAGAAAACATTTGTACAAATAAACGTTCCATTATGCTTCTACTTGTAAAAATTATAGGTTACTACATTAATATTTTATTACAGAATAGTTTCCATGGAGTGAGCTGTCTAGAACCGAGGCTTTTTTGACATTGGACAAAGTTTCTTTAAACTAGGGAATCGCAACCACTCGAGGGCTGGGCTAAAAATTTTAGACGATGCAAAAAAGTTTTGGAAAAACTAAGGTTTGCGCATAAAAATAAGTGCATAAAGAAAGGGATATATTACATATTTGTTAATGTTTGATAGATTGAAATACGATAATTTCAAGGAGGCAGATACGATAATTTTCTCCCGTAAGATTGGCAACCTGTATTTATGACTATGCCGACCGTAATTGATCCCCTGTAAGCTTCTCACTCGAAGTGGGATTTGAGGCTGCTAAATTTTTAACGTGTTCTCGATAAACAACAATTTTTAAGCGTCCCCGCAAATAAAACTGCTCTTCGTTCTTAAAGCACCATAATTTGCCATAGTAGCGAGTTTTGGTACAAATTTTTTCACGGAAATGTCTTTTGCATGTCCCGAAATGTCACCAAAACAGATTTGCAAGAAATTTATGCAATCACCTGATAAAATATTTTTCTAGACAGCGTTAAATCGGAGTAATTTAATTACAATCGTCCAGAATTTTTGTTTTAAAATTTAATTATAATTAAATAAAGTCAATTTCCGTTTTCCTAACCTTATGAATCAGGCATTATTTTATATAGATCTAATTTTTTGAGCTCTTGCACTTACAATAATTAACGTAGAAAGACACTTAGTTGTCAGTCTGTTTCACACTACTACTGTACACAACACATCCTTTATGCCAGCTTTCATTATTATTTAAAACAATTGTGTTCTTTTTCTTCTTATACAGTAGAGGAGAGTAGGGCAAGAATACGCACTTAGTTTTTTATACAAATTCTCTGTTAGAAGAGTAAAATTGCCATGCTTCCCCTAATGATTCAGACACTTAATTAATTTGTCTGAATTAATCAGGACGGGCTGGCCACGTGGAATTTTCCTGGTTTCTTCCACCTAAATAGAGACCAGTTTCCTTTAAAAAGACCTTCCGGAAGGCATCCCCCCTAGGCAGATCGTCCAAGTGTTGCGTTGCCATAACTAAACAAACTGAATTAATCATATATATTTTGTATTAAATTTTTATCATTTAATTAAACTAAAACTTTATTTATTACTACAAAAATATTGTAGTAGTATTTTGTTTATTTCTTTCTGCCCTGTGGACCCGAGAAGGCATTTTTTTTATCATACCTATCGTGTGTTCGATCAGGTCCACAATGGAGTTTAATGAACCCAAACATTTCCGAGATAGAGAAACCCCGAAAAATTCCTAGAGATTTTAAATCCATCCGCTTTCGGGATATGAGACTGAGTTCAGACAAGCAACACCAGGATTTTTTCATGGGTCCCATCCCTCATCGAACCTATTGTGAGTTTAACCGAATCCATGGTGAGCATGAAAAAAGTGCCCACAGAGTGGGCAGATTAAAAAAAAAACACATCTCAATGACCCAATAAAAGCTTAAATGTGTCCGATAATTATCACACACATTAAACTTTTATTAAGAGATGGCGCCTAACGCCTCCCTCTAGTACGAAATTGTTTCATATTTTAGTATTATAGCAGTTATCTAGCCCGATGATATACGGCATTGGTTGGTTTGTAGTTAAATAATTATAATTATTTAAAAAAGCTTTAAAACATCACATTTGTGAAAATAATTTTTATATAAATTGTTTTCAAGATTCCGATAGTGACAATTAACTAGAAACTAATCATAATTATCTTGTAATTAATTATTTCTTATATACAAGTTAATTATATCGGATGATGCTAGGCCCTGCCCATGGCTCCCCGTATAGGCCTGGTGAACCACGAGTCTAAATAACTCTTAATGCCTACAAGGCGGAGAGTAAAAATACTGTAGTTCGCCATTCTTGTGTACGAATCCAATCGACTATTGATAAATGACTACTCAATAAAATTTTTAACTTGTTAAAAATTTGAGGTTTTTTGTTTACAGCAACGAAACTTGTGTTCGATCTGCCGAGAGAATGCTTCCCGGCAGGACTTTCTATGGGAAAATGGCCTCTATTTAGGTGTTACTAACACGAAGAAAACTCAGAAAACACGTGCCCAGACGGTTGATGTATGAACCCACATCCAGTGTTCAGTGGTTTCATCCACTCGGCCACTGGAGGCGTTAAAAATTTGAATTTTTAGATATTTCCGTTATTTTTTGATTTCAACATAATTTATAAATTAGTCAAATCTTTTATTTACTTCATTTTTTTAGTATTTGTGACCAACCTGTATACAAAACAAACCCAAAGTACGTGAAAAGAGATGCTAAAACTTAGACGAGTGGCAAAAAGTTCCTTACTTTTCATGCTCGAATTTTCGTACATTTTGTTTGGTCTGTCAAATCATTAATCCAAGTTAAAATTCAATAAATGTGAAAATGTTTAATTAAAAATGTTATCAATTTTATTTACAAATTTTTGCTCAAAATTTCAGGTTTGTTTTGAAAATTAATAAAATAAAATCGTTAAAATGAAAGTACTGTATCTAGATTTAATAACTCCCTAACCTCATTTCCTTGTTCTTTGCTTTACGTAATAAGTATCCAGAATTAGAGATTTCTTCCTAAATCTGACAACACTGCTTTCCATCACATAACCCTCATCCGCCTTCAACTTGACTTTTTTTTAGTTAACCTGCGGGATATCTACAATAAAATATAGTCATCTCAAAAGACCTAAAATAGTTAATACAGAAACTCACTTTTATAAATCTTTATTAACAAATACATAATTTATAAAATTATGTAAATACAGTCGTTTTTATCTAAACTCTCACTATACATAGAATATTTAAATACCAAAAAATTCCATGGTCCATAAAATCTTCATTACGAAAACAACTATATGGTGACAATACATATTTATAACACCAACAATAAATTTTACTTGAAAAGAAAGCTAGAATTTAAAAAAAAATACATTTATATAATTATTTCAAACTTTAATTATGAGAAATCTTTATTGTAATATTTTATAACTTAAGCTGTTTAATAATGTTTTAAATATCATAAAATATTTAAAAACCATTCAAAAAATAAAGTTCAAACTATAATTATAATATGCATAATCACTAACTTAAATAATTAAGTTAACATAATGTTTGAAGCATATATATGAATGCAAATAATAGCATAAATTATGCAAGCAAATAAAAAATGTTAAAACAATAATTAATAATTGAATTGATTAATTGATTATTGGGTTGGTTGAGCTCTCACTTTGTTAGTTTGAACTTTATTTTCCATATTTCTATTTAATTAAATGACACTTGATACATCAATTTTGTTAGGATAATTAATACTATGTTTATAATTTGTGGAAATATAGTACTATTTTCAATCATCTTGGCATTGGAAAACTTGTTAACAGCAATATGATATATGTAACTATTGAGAATATTTATGATTAGACACACTAAGTTTCATCTGAAAATATTGGGTTCTGATATATATTTTCTATAATTTTTATGTTTAATTTATAATGTAATATTTTACCTATAAACATGAATCTTTCGATCATCACAAAAAAAGACTTTTTAAGCGAACTATCAGTTTCACAATTTGTCCACAAAATCTTAAGATCATACAGATGCTATATAGATTCTTTTGAACACATGACCACCTGAAAATGTCTATCATTTTTTTATGTTGTGTTACATCCACTTAAATTATATAAAGGTTTAGTAATGTACTGTTCTGTCTGCTAGAATTTATACAGATGCTCCCCAACTTACAATGTTTCAACTTACGGTATTCTGTACATATGATAGCAGATGCAAGTTAAGCAAAAGTGTAAAAACTGTCAGAATTTGAAATCAAAACAGCTCATGTCCTGCAGCATCCTCAGTCTGAAGCTTCAGAAGAAGACATTAATTAATAGCAATGTTGCCATAACATCTACTTCATCCAGCAACTATTATTCCACCATCTCCTTTAACTTTTTTTAAGGTTACATAATAAAATTTTATTGCATGCTTTTCTGGTGAACATTACAATATTTGAAAGATTACTGTGTGCATAACATTAGCTTAAGATACTTCTGTACATTTTCTTTTGTTTCATTCTTTCTTTCTTTCCTTTTTTTCTGTACACTTTACAATATAATATGCAACATCACATATTGTATAACCTTACATATAGTCTTTTTTAGCTTACAGTATTTATTTTTATTTTTCACTTATGATGTGTTTTTGGAATGTAACCCCATCATAAATCAAGGAGACATATATTTGTGATGTTTCTTGCTTTTTGTATTATTATTATTGTTCTGTTCTTGGGTATTTCCTACAGGGCACATTTACCAGTACCTAATGCTATGCTGAACTAAAGTCACAACATAAATACAGAAAGCAAATATTTTGTTTATATACTGTTTGTTTATGTATCTGTTTTTAGAAATTTCCTGACTATTTGACATGTATTTAGTACAGCAGCCTTCTCTAGTGTGATGTTCTGTTACTGTGAAGACCTAATGTTTTCAGACTCTTATGATACAACACCTGTGCAAGAAAGGACTTATTACGCATAAATACCTTATCCCTTCTCTATAGATGCTTTATTTCATAGACAAGTTTTGAGTATTTACTAATTTTTTCAGCGTATGTGTTTTGTATGTTGTGGTAAGCTATGTCTATGGATGTATGTGATTTCATTGTGTTTGTCAATAAGTGTGATGTTTGTTCTGTTATGATGACTGTTTCATCTATTATTATTATTATTAAAATCCACAAAAATGCATTTCAACTATATGCCAAGAGGTTCATCTCTAAATGTTGTTCAGCTTAGGCTCTGGATTTAATTTGTCACTGAAATTTATGAAAGTTTTTTAATCATTCTTAAAAATATAATTTGTATAAAATATATATTTCACATAATTCTATTTAATTTTAAACAACTTGTCAGTGAAAATATTTATAGGTGCAAATTAGCTGGACTTTTGTAATTATGTCTAAAAATAATATTAAATAAAATTTTGCTGTGCATTTAAATAAATAGTTCATTTACTCACAATATTTAATTTTCCTCTCATTATATATATTTGAAAAATACTGTGTCTAAGTGATACAAAATGCCAGAAGAGTGAGAACAACAGGTAATGTCCAGGTAACGCTTAATCCAAGATGTTACAAGAGTAGCAAGAAATTAGAATAAATTTTAAGCAAAATATATAAAGCATAAATGCAAGTTTAGTAATATAAATTGAAAAATAGATTGTCTGGAAAAGATTCTACTGTACTCTTAGTTACTTAATATTCTTGCCAGCTATATATGAAAATTATAAAACATATATTTATTAATTACAGTCAAACACCATTATTATGTTATTGGTTTATGCAAAGTAGATTTGAAGTCCCATGGACAAGGGAGGAGGCTAGGCATTTCAATGTTAATTAACAAGTTTAGTTTATACAAATTTTGATAAAACAAACCTGCAATTTTTAAGACCCTTTGACTATGTATTAACAATGTTTAACTGTAATAATGATAAAGCAAAAGTAATAACTTTAATTTTATTTAAATAATTATAAAATTTTAATATATGTCATCAAATAGCATTTTTTCCAGATAATCACTAACTTAAATAATTAGTTTAACATATAATGTTTGAAGCATATATATGAATGCAAATAATAGCATAAATTATGCAAGCAAATAAAAAGTGTTAAAACAATAATTAATAACTGAATTGATTAATTGATTGTTGGATTGATTGAGCTCTACAGCTGAGAATATAAAAAAAACTCAGCCTTTGTGGATTGTAAAAATGGCAGCAGCCAATAATCATTACTATTGTATAACAGCATTAATTTAATAAAAAATAAGCCTTAAAAAAAGAAAAACATCTTAAATTAAAAAAGAAATACTGCATTAAAATTAACTTTAACTATCTTTTAATATCAATGACATATATGCAAAATATGAATAATTTTCTTATGGTTATCTTTTCAATACAGAAAAATATTCTATTTAAAACTTTTAATAATTGTGTAGTAACAGTAATATAAAATTATATTTTGTTTTCATGTTCCGTAATAAAACATGAGCTAAGAATTGGATTATAGTAAAACATGAGTGACGTACTCCTGAAATATAGATGTTATTTTATGAAAAAAATTAGTTTTAATTTAAAAAAAAAGTCAAGAAAAAAAAAGCTCTGTTGAATATTTTTTCTAGATTTGATAAGTTATATCATCTTAGTTTGATACAATGAGCTAAAACAATAAGAGATGTAGAGAAAAGATAAGTTAATCTTTTGCCATGTTAGAATTTTATGTTGTCAGCTAGATATTATTGTAAAACATCTTTAATTTTTCAATATTAATGATTTATTGATAAGAAAATGATTCAAAATTTTTTCTTCAAACAATTTTACAACTTATTTAATGAAAAAAAGAATCAAGAATCAGCTGCACTTACTGTACTTGTACATTTAATTTATGCCTTGACATTCTGGTAGTAGTTCTATACCATTTTAATTAAATAGCAAGAGTTAACAATGAAAAATGCAAATTTTTTAAATTTTAATGCTAATATTTGTATTTCTGGCATAAAGTTTTATTGAGATGTAAGCATGCATGGACAAGAGTCTACTGTACTTCATGTTGACTGTATTCCTGCTATTTTAATAGTAGGGTTTTATTAAGAAAACACAGTTTAATATTGGCATTTTTCAATATGTAACCTAAAAAATTATAAGCCAAGCAGCAGTAAGTTATCAGATTTAATAAAGTCATCTTGTTGGATGTGTACAGAGATGAATGGCATCAGTTTATTACTTCTGTTTACAGAAAACCAACTGCAATACCATTGTATATCCATTTCCATTCAAGAGATCCATTCAAATAACAAACTGCAGCTTTTATATCACTCATATAGAATAACTTAGTTTATTCATCAAGCAAATTAAGTTAAATGAAGAGATCAGACATATTGGGAAAGTTGCATAGCATAAAGTTTTTCAATCAACTTTTCTGGAACATGGTGAAGTGTGCAAAAAAATATAGCATGACAAAGAAAAATAAAGGCACACAAAATGCAAGGTTAGTTAAAGTAATGAGAGTAGCTACTGCAAAGTATTCAGGCCATAAATTGAAGGAAAGAATATTAAAATAATTACAACTATACAGCACACAGTATACGACAGGATCAAGAATCAAAAGAAAACAATATGGGAGGATCAAATGAGTATGGAGTATGCAGAAATCCAGTCAAATTAGATGAAATAGGTGAAACTGTAGAATTGATGACAGAGTGAAACAACACTTAAAAACTTAATACAGAGAAACAAAAAATAATCTTGTATGACTTTAAAAATAACACTTTAAGGACTATAAAACTAGAAATCACTCTAACACCACCCTAGTTTTAAATAAAACAATGAAAAGAGATTAAGTTAAATAAGTGAGTGTGACTTTTGATGCATTAGGTCATCATAAAAAGTCTGGGCCAATAAAAATAATTTGAATGTTAATCCATAGTTATTTGTGTTAACATTATAACTAGAAACTGATTTTATTTCTGCATGAGATTATTATCCAGTTAATGTTTTTAAGTTATTTTATTAATTTATTAGATTTTTATTTTTACACAATGTTTCAGATTAAAACAAAGTCTATGTTTGAATTTGANTTTTTTACAAGTAAATTATAAAATACATTATGGCATCAATACTAAAATACATATATATTGTATATAAATTTAAATGAAACAATAATGATTTTACTCAATCCTGGAGGCAAGTGTTCTACTTGTCCCCCTCTGCAGACATCCATATTTGCTGAATTGATGATTTTGTGAATACCAAATTTTAAATGAGTCCAATGACTGTATTTTAAATGAATACAACCATCAATTTTGATGGGTTCCTGCTAGTATTATATAAAACTACAAAAATTGTTTATTTTTACATATATGATGTGATATGGTCAAATTTGTAAAATCTTATTTTATTTTTACACAATGTTTCAGATTAAAACAAAGTCTATGTTTGAATTTGATAGAATATATTAATAAATTCAAATAATGTATGTTTGAAACAGTTTTCCATTAAGCATTTGATCTGATGATTTGTGAAATATCTTGAAAAACATTTAACTGAAATAAAAAGCATTTAACATCTTGAATTGTATGGTATTCATTCAAAATACATAAATAATAGAATTACAAGAAAAAATTCAATATTTTGGATCAGTGTGTTGTTGAAAGAACTGCCTACTTTTCATCAAAGAGTATTATGTAAACTGAGATTGAATAAATGACTGTGCAATCAATAAGCAAACCTAGGACAAGTTATGAATTTATTTCAATGTCACTTTCAGTGTAGAGACTACTATATAGGAAAAATTCTCTCTCATGTATGCAATTATGTCAGACTTACTTTTTCAATTTCCATCATATAATGCACCTAATGCAATTGTTCCTCTCAAAATGAAACATTTGTTTTACAATTATATTTTTAAACGTTTTTGTTTCTTTTTTATTTCAATTTTTTAAAAATAATTACACTAAATCCTCCTTATTTTGCACATATAGGGAGACAAAGCAAATGAACAATTTATTAGATAGCATGATATAACTAATGTATCGATCCATCATTGGCTAAAGTGTTTTTATATTTGGAAAAAAAAACAAAGAAAAATAATATATCCAAATGAGCAACATAGAGAATGAGAGGCTACAGTATTTCATTTAGTTATTCTAATAGATTATTTCGTGTTTTCCTGTTTTTGAAAATGATATCAGTAAACTGAAAATACATTTATTATTACCAATGCTTTGAAAACATTCATCATTTTGTATATGACATTTTTTAATTTATTGTTCTAATTCAGCTGATTAATTTATGTTATCTGTGCCCCAATTCATAATTTGTAGATAATGATAATTTGAGAAAACATTGGTACAGTTTTATTGAATTCAATAATAAAACATTTGTATTTGCATTATAATTTAATAACTTAATCTACCATTTGCACTGTCAATCAGACAAATCCTAATCAATCAGAATAATTTACAATCTTTTTCATTTTCACTATATTTATATCAGAGAATATTTTTTAATAAACTACTATAAAAAGTATCAAAAAGATGATGAAAGAGGTTTTTAATAATTTATAAAAACAACACTTAAATATTAACCCTCAAATATCACCTATAATACTAAAAACAAAATTTTATGTAAGTAATCTTTGACAGCAATGCAATAAAGGAAAAACTAATCTCTAAATCTTTCAACAGATCAATAACAAGTTAATGTATTACTTGAATAATTAAAAAATAAATTATAATTCTCAGCCATCAAAATGATAAATCCAGTTAAATTGCAAATTAATTTATTAGCATTTTTAATATGATTTTAAAGTTTTACAATGTATAAATTCTGGAAGTCTGTATATTCATTATAGTTTATCTAATAATTAGTATCAATTATTATAATTTCATTTTTAAATATAAATATGTAAATCACATGCAAATTATATTCAATAATTGCAGGGAAAAATTAATCAAGTTATTATAATTTATTTTATTTCTATCTACTGATGAATCAGTTAAAAAACTGATATATCAAGGAAAATAGTTATACAGTATCATCATTGATGTATATGTAAAATATAAATACAGCCAAACTTCTATATAACAAAGTTGCTAAATCCTGAAAAAAATTCACTTTCTTTTTTTTTCTTTATACAAAAAAGGAAAATTTCTTTATACAAAATTACACATTTTGGTAAAATTAAATAAAATCTCACTAACCTCAAAAATTAGTCCAGCACTTGTCAAAATTATCACCTTTCTAACATTTTTAACATTAATTGTAAATCATTTATCTGTCAATGATGGCATTTAGACCTAATTTCTTTCCTCCTTTACAACCAGTAGCCATGTGGGGGAAGATTACACAATGGTTTCAAAAGCTAATGACCAGTATGTCTCACACCTGGGCCACAGTTTTACAAAGGGTTTACAGATTGATAGCTGAAATTGAACCTAAATTTGAACTGGACCCAGATGGAGTAATCAACTTTTAATGATCAATGATCCTTACAAATTAAAAAAAATTTGTTATATAGAAATTTAACTTTGTTATTTAGAAGCAATTTTACATATATTTTTGGTTGAAAGATTAGTGTAAGATGCAAAAATTTGTTACACAGAAATTCTCTATATAGAAGTTTGCAATATGGAAGTTTGACTGTGGTATAAAAGGAGAGTGAAAGCAAGTATTTTATCAAACAAATATGTCTTAGAATAATTAAATAAAATTTGTAAATATAATAAAAGTTATTATAATCGTAAATCAAATTATATTAAAAACAAAATAGATTACCTATATGGATAACCATGAGCTTTTGAGCGGAAAATGGAAAGAAGTAGACTAAAGAAAATAGCAACTACAGCAAGTCCTATTATAGCCATTACTAGGGAGGAGGGAAAAAAACATCGTTAATATAATAATAATATTTTAAAGATCTTTTAAGATCATTTATTAAATTAAAAACATTGAAATTACTCTTTCTTTTCTTTGATTCTCCCTTTGATGCTGCAGCTTCATTCAGCAGTATCACTCCAAAAACCACAGCAGCATCTTTCTTGTTAAGAATAAACTTATTACATAAAAATTTTTTAGAAAACTGAAATAAAACTAAAAAATAAAAGCAATAACTTGAATTTAGTTTAATTATAAAATATTCAGTTTAAATGTTTCTTGTTCAATTTTAATTGAAATTGACATTCAAGCTAACTTTCAGTATCATTATTTGAAATAACAATAATCATGAAATGTATGGATTGTCTAGAAGTCCTATAAGTGTAAAAATTCAAGAAAATCTTGTAAAAACTTTAAATTAAAAAATGAAATGTGTGTACAGTACAGGGTTTGATCAAAAAAGCTAGTATCAAACTTTTTATTTATAAGAAAATTATTCTACATTAAAATGGTCATCTTTGAAATAACCTCCTGTAGTAAGTACACACATTGTTGCCATCACAAATTGTTCTGGGTGGGACAAAGAGGAACACAAGCCCAATATAAAATTTCCTTATCCATTCACTCTGAAATAATTTATTCAAGTCTACCTTACAAGGTTAAATAAACAAATGAGGTTAACAGAATATCAGAAGCAGCCATTTTGTTTTTTGAGATGACTTTTTTCTCTTGCTTGCAAATGATTGGCTGCTTAAATTTCACAATTGCTATTTGCTTTTGGTTGCGTGGATCAATTTTGGTAAGCGAATAAACATTGTTTTTCACTTATCTCATTCGCCTTTGCTTTTCACTCAGTGTGAATTAACATTTACCACTTCTGGAAGTATTCCTTGTAGGAATTTTTTGAAATTGCATTTAGATCAGCATCCAAAGTTTCTTCTCTTCAACAATTTGAAAACAGAATCCTTTAAACAAGTTCTTTAGTTTTGAGAACAAAAAGAAATCACAAGAGGTCAAATAAAATGAGTATGATGGATGAGGAATAAGAGTGATTTTGTTATTCATCAAAAACTGCCAAACTAAAAGAAAATTGTGTGATGATGTATTCTAAAAAAGAAGAAAATCTAAATTAAACAACAAACTTATTAAGGAAAGCTGAAGTATTTCACCACCATCATTCTAAGATAAAACAAAATTTTACATTTAATCTTTAATTGGTTCTATTGTAACCACCAGAACAAAGAAAACTGAATTATAGAAGCCACTATAAATAAAAGGAAAAACTTTTTGACACAAATTCAATGACAGACAACTCACAGCTAATGACCACATTACATAGTATAACTAGTTTCCTTTCCATATACTCCCTACTATATAAAGCTATGCAATTAATCTGAGTATTTTTTTAATCAAATATCATATATAATGAATCAATGATGCTGAATTCAATAAATAATAGTCCAAAGACTTTGCCCTAACTTTGACTCAATGACTTTGCAATGAAAGCATAATGAAGTAATATGAAACATCAGGGTTGAAACCATCAAAGGTCAGGAGCAGAGCACTTAATACAATAAAAAGTGAACAAATTTTCAGATTAATGCGAAATATGTAGTCTTTTACTTACTTGTTAGTTATTCAACGAAACGATAAGTTTTGATGTTCGCAAGATATTGAATTTATTAACCAAGTTACGTTAATTTTATTCTATTCTAATAAATTTTAAAGTCACTTAGTCTATAGCGCTTNTTTGTATTGTAATATTAATCAACCCATAAAGTTTATTAAAAAAGCATAATATAACTAGCAGTTGTTAAGTTTTAAATTTGAATAATAATAAAATGAAGTAATATGAAACATCAGGGTTGAAACCATCAAAGGTCAGGAGCAGAGCACTTAATACAATAAAAAGTGAACAAATTTTTATTCTATTTTAATAAATTTTAAAACTGATATTTACTTATTATTTTTAATATATCACCTAAACTTACAAAAGATTAATAAAATATAACTTCATTACCCTTTATTTTAATAAATCTATTTAATTGTTTAAAATACTTTATTCTAGATTCATATTCTATTTTTACTATTTTCTGATGTATTGATATTACAGAAAAATTAGTATACATTAGGAAACCTCCACACATTTGGTATTCACCAAATGCCAAATAATTACCTTTTGCCAAAGTATTTACTGATTTGTTTATCAAATACACATTTATTTTTATGCCACAACTGTTTGCTAAGCATCAGTTCATTATGGGAATGATGAATGTTTGTCCAATCTAGAAAATGGAAAATGCATGCTACAGCTTTAATAGTCATGAGTAGTTCATATCTATTAATAAAAAATAAGCAAACCAGTTTTATTTATAAGTCTTATCTGTTCCTATTCCACTTGTAGCTCTTGGCTTTACTTTGTTATCAATGGTATCATTTAGAACATGTTCAGAGTTTTTTCTTTATTCAATGACATAAGTTCCACCTCAATTACTGTTTCATTAGACCATTCCATTTTGAAAATAGACCAAAAACAAGAAAATACACAAATACAAACATGAAAGTATGGAGACAAATATTCACCCCCTTTGATTTGGCACAATTTACCAACAGGAGTGGGAAACAGCAAATACCAAATACTTGTTATGAGTAAATCATCCACACTACTTGATATTCACCTAGGCATTTGGTGAATACTGGATGTTTGGCAATGTCCTTAGAAAAACAATCTTAATTTTAATTTATTTTATTGTTTCATTAATAAAAATTTTCTTTAGAACAATGAACAACAGTTCAAAGGCAACCAAACTGGGAGAGTATCAGAGCAAATCAGGGATGTATCCAGAAATTTCTGGACAAAAATTATAATTTATCTAAATAAAGATATTTAAAATTAAACAAATCTTTGTCTAATTTTTCAAAACAAACTTTTTATGTAAATAATCAAAATTCTTATAAGCACAAAACTTTGATGAATATTTCTTTTATAGTTGTTTTTCTACTCCTTTGAATTACTTTTCTGTTTTCATAACCTTTCCTTATTTCTATTTTTGTGCATGCACACCCAACACTACTTCCTTAGTTTTCCTATATTTTCTCCTCCTTTTTTCTCACCAGCATCCAATCCTTACTTTCTGGTTTCCATTTCCTATGCTTTTCTTCTAATTGCATGCTTGAACACTTTTAACATCCAGTTTTCATTTTCCTTTATTAAATATATATATATTTTATTTTTATCTTGTTCTTACAAGCAAGTTTATCAAGTTCACTTTAGACAGTCCATACTTCCCAGTGTAGACTTATTTTTATAAAATATATATTTCACATAATTCTATTTAATTTTAAACAACTTGTCAGTGAAAATATTTATAGGTGCAAATTAGCTGGACTTTTGTAATTATGATATAATTAACAAATCTGTATGTCATCTTTATATTTTTTATATTAGCTTTTACTTATTTCTATTGTTTGAAATAGAATTAAATTGATTATATGAATATCAAGTAATCTATATATGCATGAAAATTGTTATCAACTTTTTTTGTTACTTGAGACAAAAAAAATCCATTGAAATATTTACTTGAATTTTTTAAAACATTTTCTTAAAATTATTGTTGTTATATTTTATAAATCAAGCTATAATCAAATATCAATTAAATTTAATTTCCTAAATGCTTATAATATTAACATTTATTTTATATTTAAGATATTTAAAAGGATACTTAAAATGATAACTATATATGTTTCAATAATGAATTGACCTCCACTACTTCCATGAATATATGCCTGTAAATAGATGAAATTTTTGACGAATCAATCAAATTATTGCGAATAAGTAAAGAATTTATTCTTACCACATTGCCTCGATTTGTACGATGCATAAATGGTGGTCCTCGAATGTGATTCCACATTTGGCCAGAAGTCATTGCAAATATTACACACTAAAATAATAAATTTAAATTACAATTATTATACTTTCTTAATTACAGTACAGTCTTGGTAATACAGCCATTTGCTAGTTCAACATATGTTAATTCAACATTTGTCACTCTTGGATATTACAGGCACTGTTGCTAAGTCAAGAACTAGTTCAGATTCCAGTTTCCAACAAATATGAACACTTTCCCACTAATCATGGGTTGATATTGAGCCCAAATTTGATCATGATATTAAAGTCTGTTAGGCTCATCATTTTAGGCTGCTCAAAAAAAAGACACAGTATATCTTATAATACAGGTTGGGAAAGAAAGTCACTTAACATCCCTGCTACAGAATATACTATGTACCCAAAGAATGTACATTGAGCACATCATGTAACATACATAACTCTAACTGTTTGAGATAGGTCAATGAGATCTTTCAGCAATTAATTCTTTGTGAAATTCTGACCCTAAATGATGTGTCACATGATCCCCTCCCATTTAGTTTTGGAGTTGCATTCAATAGGCCTCCATCAAGACGGTGGTAGTGTGTGTAACACACATCAATCTGTTTTCCTCTTGTATAATGTGTTCCTCCCATGAGCAAATTAATTTTGGATACATTCTATATTCTGTAGCAGAGGTGTTGATTTTCTTTCCCAACCTGTACAATACTATACATAAATATAAAAATTAGTTCCCTGAAATCTCCCACCAAAAATACTGTACCTCCCACTAAATTTAGTGGGAATCTACCAACTTGACAACACTGCCAATCAGTAATGGGAGTGCACTTGATATTTTGATCAGTAGTCCAACTCAATACAATGTTTTAATATCGTGCAAATAAACAATGATTTCATTCTGAATAATTAAACTTTTGAATTATTTTTACTTCCAATCCCAATAATCATACAATCTCCCTAATCTAACATTGTTCTGATCCCACATTTATCAGTTTATTGAATTTGTATTGTAATATTAATCAACCCATAAAGTTTATTAAAAAAGCATAATATAACTAGCAGTTGTTAAGTTTTAAATTTGAATAATAATAAAATGTCATATATAAACTGTTTAATCAAATACTAAGGTAAAAATCACAACTCCTGCTTTTCATGCAGCGTAATCTTTTCTTCCAAAATTTTCTTAACCTAATTAATTTAATTCTAATTATTAAGTTTAATACAAGATTAAATGTAATTGCCTATCTAAAATATTTGAGAAGGCCAACTTGCTAAACAAACTGTTGTTTTGTGCTTTTCGTTAACTAGAAATTTCTCCTTTTCTTCAATATTGGTGAAAATCATATAAAATATGTCACTTCTGTAAACAATCTTGGTATTATTAGGTAAAATTAGATGCCCACTCTCTTTTGGACAAATCATGAAAGAATATTATACCCTTTTTTTAGATTATCTCTTCCTCAAAGTTAATTTTTTTATAACATTTCAGAAAATATAGATAGTTCTGAACATTTATTTCATGATGATTACTACTGTTTCAAAAGGTCTGCAAATGAATATTATAATATTCTTAANTTATTTTTATCTTGTTCTTACAAGCAAGTTTATCAAGTTCACTTTAGACAGTCCATACTTCCCAGTGTAGACTTATTTTTATAAAATATATATTTATATTTCTATATTAGTTTGTCAAGTTTTTGATTTTTTAAATGTTTTCATAACTTTTTATGATATAATTAACAAATCTGTATGTCATCTTTATATTTTTTATATTAGCTTTTACTTATTTCTATTGTTTGAAATAGAATTAAATTGATTATATGAATATCAAGTAATCTATATATGCATGAAAATTGTTATCAACTTTTTTTGTTACTTGAGACAAAAAAAATCCATTGAAATATTTACTTGAATTTTTTAAAACATTTTCTTAAAATTATTGTTGTTATATTTTATAAATACACTGCAATAGAAATAATTGTGGTTTTATTATTGTGTAATGGTTACGTTCTTACAATACACTATTCAACATTTCTAACAAGTAATTCAATTAAAAGGTGATCTGCTTGAAATTAATTTCAAACATTAAATGAAGAAAAAATGACATTTGTCTAACACAGAACTTTACAATTATTCTTTTATATTAAAATATAATAGTTAATTATCTACAAATGTGTACAGCACATGCATAAAATGTTAGAAGTATTAAAATATACATTAAAGCATTTTAATTTATATATCTGACAGTCATATATGCAAAATAATTATTATAATTGTATGTGTTCTGAGAGTTGTGTATAATTTTAACCTTAATATTATGTTCAAAAAGTGCAAAGATCAAGAATATCATAAATGATAAGTAATAGTGATTGACAGAAAGACAGTTTTATTAATCAGTATAATTTAATTACATCATGAAACTAGGGTAAGAATTTCATTCCATCGATTGCTTTTTTTCTTGTAGTAAATCTTTCTACTTTTGGATAAATACAGCATTTTTATTTTAAACTTTAGTGCAGAAACAACTATGTAGTAAGATGAAAATTTGATTTATATATTATTAAAACGTATATTCTAATTTTTGCCAATGAGAGAACTATTTTTAGATATAAATCATTATAAAGCATATTTTAATTCCAAAAAATTCAGGTTACATCAGGTCTAATTTCTTAAAATGAGTGAATGTAGAGAAATCTGTAGTTTAATTAAAATGCATGAACTATTCTTTAGCATGTGCCAGAAGTTGATATTTTCAGCCTAATTTTTATATTTAAAGTATGTTCAACAGCAAAATTTGATTACTTGCACTAAATAACTCAATCTTTTATAGTAAATAGCACTTACAGAAGGAAATAAATAGTAAATATTGATAAATTTTTGTTGTTTCAAATATTATAGTAGAAATTAATCCATGAATTTTTTTTAATAGGTTTATATGTGGAAGAGAAATAAAGAAAAAAGGCAATCTGTGGGGATTAAGAAGTAGAGTACCACCACCAGTACCAACAATTACAATACCTGCCATTGGACCAGTAAATGATGAAGTGATGGAAGAATTGAAGAGGTCAAAACAGCATAAAACTAAAATGTTTATTCCTGTTAATAAGTAAGCTGTTGTTGTAGAAATTTGTGTTGTTAATAACTTAGATAAATATTAAATAATATATAATATATTATTTATTTGTTTTTATTTGTTTTATAGTACACCAATTCCTATAAAAAAGGGTAAACGAAGAAAGTCTGCTTCTGATTCTTCCGAAAAAGTGACAGTAACACAAAGATCAGCAAGAGCAAGAGTGGCTTATGAAGATGCTGTAAGAAAGGTTATTATCATAAATAAAATAAAAACTGAATTTTAGATTCTGTAATAATTAAGTTAAATCTTATAATGATTATGTTATAAATGTTGAGAGGTGGCCTAACTGTAGCTTATTGAGGGAGTTAATGTACATAAAGAAAAAAATCTTGGAGGAAGAAAGACAAAATATAATTTGAGATTTTAGTTTGAATTATCAAAAATAATCTTTTCTTCTTCCCATCAATAAAATTTAATAAATTAACAAGCATTTTCAGTCTGATATTATATTCTGTTATTAGATCTAAAATCTCATGGAGTTTGACTTTACAAATGAACATTGTAAAATCCACTTTAAATGCATAATAGCTACCATGGGGTCTATATGTGACCCTGAACATATAAAAAACTGTAAAAGATTCTAAACCAATAAAGCAATTTAAGTTTCTTTCCATCAGTATGTGTGTGTGTGTNAATATTATACAATTCTTAATTTTTTTCTTTATAATTTTATAATTTTTACTTGTTGTATTTTGTTTTATTGTACTTTGTGTGAATAGTCCACATGTATATTGAAAACAAGTGGATTAAGCAAGCAGGAAGGAGGGTTGCCTTAGGGTTAATTTTTAACTAGGGAGCTTTGCCCCTAGTTAAAAATAAAATCATTTGATATAAATATCTCTCTATATAATCTATATAAGAAATTATCTTATTTAAAAATTAAAAGATAATTTTTAATAATATTCAGATCTTTAATACTAACCAATGCTGCCAGACCCCAAGATGTTTTATTGTAAAGAAAGTCTAAATTATTTCTTCTCATATATAAAAGAGCACCAATTAAAGCAAACAAAATTACTAGTGCTATTGTTCCTGAATAATTAGGAGGACGGAAGACACGAATCTAAAAATAAATAAAAATTAAGAAAATAAATCAAAATATATAAAGTTTAATAATAAAACATAAATATCTTACCTGAATATCTGTTCTTTCACCTAACCACCGAGAGATTGTTTCAGCAGCAAAACCAATCCTGAAACATAGATGTTATTTTCTATTAAAAGATTTTTATTCATATTTAATCTGAAAATATTTTCATTTGATTACATAACAATAAAGACAACATTTAAAAATATTATAAATTAGCATTTTAAGTTTTAAATGCAATTATAATGCATTTTTCAATATCAAGAAATATTTCACAAATAAGCACAATTCTAATTATAGAAGCAAAGTTTAATCAAAAAGGATTGTAAAGAAAAAAAGTTTGAAAGAACATTACATTCATAATGTTGTTCCAAACTTTGTAAATTCGTAAAGTTTGAATAATGTGTTCAAACTTTATTTACATTTAAAAATAATGGAAATTCAACCTATTGTGAACATCTTATACATACATAAAATTAATAATAAAATGTACATAAAAAAATAAAGAAATTAATGCATGCAATAATGTGAGCCATCACATTCCTGAAAAACAAATATGCTATACCTGGTTATCCTTTAATTACTGCTCAAAAGTTAATTAAACAATTAACAGAACTAGCTTCACCATTCAAGCCTGTTTATCATTTAAGTCAAAAGATAAAAAAAATGCAGATAACAATGATCAAGATTTTACATCTTTTTATATAGTTAACATAAATGTTAAGTGTACTTGGAAAAGTTTGATCTAGTGAGCCTTAGGTATAGTAAAGAGCAGAAATGAAATTCACTAATACAGATGATTCACTTGAGACTGAACACTTACTCTGTACAATCATTGAAAGGTATTGAACAGTCACTTTTGAATAAAATGTAATGTATAACATACCTTAATCAACTGCTTTGTCATAAAATAAAGAATCATTCTGTTCATGTGTCATGTCCATGTTTTCATTTTATATGGAGATATTCCATATAACAAGTGTTCGGTCCTGAGTAAATCATCCTGTATTATTGCCTCTTTATTTTATACTGAACTAATTTATGTGATTTTTTTTATATAAGTTAAATTTCACCTTTTAAATTTAGTTATTGTAACATATTGTTCAAATTGTTTGAATTTCAATAGTGTTCTTTAGAACTTCTTTCTTCTTGTTTATTAAAAGACTGATAAAGTCTAAATGTATAGGAAAAAATGCCCCTTTTTTGTTAGGTCTACAGTCCTTTTTCACTTAACATTGTTTCTATAATTAAGATCATGGCTATTTAATATACTTTATGTAACATGCAGGAAAAATTACTATTACTTTTATGACATATTCTATAATTATACCACTATGCTGATCATTAAGATAACATCTATCTGTGAAAAATTTACTGACACACATATACAAAAATATAAATGTGCAATGTAAATAGCATGTAAGTAATAAATAGCATTTATATGAGTAAATATTTTAGAAAAAGTTTTTAATAAAAGATCATATGTTATGATAAAAAAAATTTAGATAGAAATAGGAATTTGACAGGAAATATTTTGTTGACATCTTTATGGTTAACTCAATCCACTTTTACCAAGATTTGTCATAATAGTTGATTTAATAGACAATTCAGACTTCTTGTCATTTTGTCTAGATAAAAAATGGATTGAGTAACCCATAAAGATGTCAATGAATTCTAATAACTACAAAGCAAGCAAGAAAATATTTGCTATTGACATTTTAAAGAACTTAAAAAAAGAATCTAATTTAGTTTTGTCAATATTGTACTATTCAAAATTCTTATAAACAGCATAAATTCGTAATTTTTCATACTTGTTTCAATGACTAATAATAGATATAAATTTAAAAACATTTATTGAATAAAAAGTTTTTCTCCTAAAATAAACTTCACTTTACTTTTGTAATTACTGTAGAGCATCGATTATCCAACCCCCGATCAACCATCACCTCGGTTAACCGACCAAGTTCTAGTAGGCAAATTCAAATGTCCGCTAGTGATGTGGCGCTACAATATTTGGCTATGTCTTAGCTACTTTAATATTATTTTTACATGTTTTAGCTGTCAACACTCATTCGACCATGAAAGGGAGCCAGTATTTAAACGAGGCTTAATTTTCTAATTTTTAACAATACAATAGCAACGATTATTATTTTAAAAAATTTTTGTTAGGCTTAACATCGATGAAAATTCAACACAAAGTAGATTAATAGCGATATACTAATATACTAATTACATGGGATATAATAATATACTACACTAATAATGGATTTTTTCATACTTTTCGGTTATCCGACTTTTCAATTATCCGACCAACCCCAGTTCCCAATTGAGTCAGATAATCGAGGCTCTACTGTATTGATATATTTTAAAAATCATAAAACCGCAAGAATATCATAGAATAACAAGTTATAAACACAATTTGGAAAATATAACTAACAAACAAAAATGTAATATTTATTGAACATACTTTTACTACTGACAACAGCATTATATACATATGAACATAATGCTAAATGTTTATATGAACATAAAATTAAACTTTTTTATTTATGAATTTTGCTTAACATTAGTGTGCAAGAATTATCATAGCAATCAAATAATGTCTATATCAGTCTATACCAGTGTTTTTCAACGTGTGGGTCGCGACCCCCTGGGGGGTCGCAAAGCCATACTCGGGGGATCGCGGGTAAAAGAAAAAGACAAGTGTTTGTAGGTCCTACACTACAATAAAAAAAACTACAATTTCAGTAAGAAGGTGTACCTGTTTATTTTACAATACAATTGGTTTCTTGATCGATATTTAAATCTCAACAGAAAGAAAATTAAATACGTTGTTTTTAAAATCACTGACATAGCTTTAATATGGCCGTGGGGGTCGCCAGAATTTTTTAACTTGTAAAGGGGTCACGTATTCAAGAAGTCTATACACTGGTCTATACTATATATTATATATATACAGTTGAGTCTGCATAAGTCAACACCCCAAGGGGAAGTGAAAATGTGTCAAGTTATCCAATATGACGACTAAAGCGAAGTTGAAAATAACCACAATACTACAAATACACAAATACAGTAGTGCAATGCACCTCTCTGACCATCCATCACTGGCACTAAAGTTGGTTTTTACTCCAAGTACCCCAGCAATTTCCATTGCCTTTTGTTTCAGTATTGGTCCCAAAACAGGAAGAAGATTCGATGAACAAATTTGCTTTACCCAACATACAAGAGCATCTTTGACATCTTTGTACAGCGACTTTCTCTGGCATTTTCGAGACGGCCACGACAAAAATCCAAGGAAAAGTTTCTTAATTTTTTCTTTAGGATTCCCATCAATGTTACTTTTAAAAGGTTTTTTGTTTTGCAAATTCGGCTTGCAAAGTTTTCTTACATTCAAATTCAGACACAAGTTTGTATTTTTCCTTCTGCGTAAGCATTGTTAGCTTTTGAACACTCATTTCTAACAGAAATGTGAAACATGTGCTACAAATAACGTTTGATGCAAAAAAATGCAAAATTGGATTCTGCTGTGACGTTGATATAGATTGTATATTTTCTTTTTGTTCATCTGTTATTATTTTATATATAAAATACATGAAGTTAAGGTATTTTTATTAATATGTATATATTAATAAATAAGTCGACTCCCCTCCTGAAAAAAAAAAAAAGTTTACACCGCACACTTTCATTTTTTTCAGAAGAAGAGTCGACTTATCAGATGTCTAAACAAGTGTGGGACAGCAAAAGTACGTCGATTTATCCAGTAGTGATGAGTTAAACGGTGTCGAGTAAACCACAGTTTTTTAACATTAATGCCTATGTAAGTCGGCCAAAACCACAGAAAACTGACTACTTAACCAACGGTGTCTAGTTATACCTATGATGTCTTACGTGAACCCGACTATTATTTTTAAGGTCAGGGTAGATGGACTACTACTACTACTACTACTACTAATAAGTGGTTAATTGTTTTATTGTCTTGTAAATGAAAAGTCTCTTCCTGATTTTAAGTCAGTCAAATTACAATGTTATTACTTTATTGTACTTGGAAGAATGTTTTCTTTAGCATTTAGTTAACAACTAGTTTNCAGCATATAATATAATATAATATAATACATAATACAAATAATTACTGAACAATAAATTTTTTTACATATATTACAAAAAAATTTATTGTTCAGTAATTATTGTATTTTTAATGATGTTTATGTCAGTTTAGGAAGTTCCATGTCAAATACTCTAATTTTCTCCATTTGTTGTCTTTCATTTATTAATTAGAGACAATTAATGAAACCAGACAACTTTAAACAAAGCATGCAGACTTCAAATCTATAAATTTCTTTCATTTATTTTATAATTACATCTATAGCAAACTATTAAAATATAAATGAAATGAAATGGAGTAAAAATATACACACACCTGGATACCTTATTGGACACCACTGAAAAGTGGGAGTTGATAAAACATACCCCAACCAAATTAGGAACAGTTACTAACAGCTAACAGAATCACTTCAAAAATGAAGATTATATAACATGGGTTAAAGCAATGTTTTATTATGCACTATTAGCCCAGGACGCCCTCTAGTGGGTGTTCTTTACAAATTTCCATGAGGCACGGTTCCTTTGACGTTTTTGTTCCTATCAATATGCTCTACAGCTCCGTTAAAGTCCCAATGGTAAGATTTACCCTCCAAATGAAGGGTTGGTAACCCCAAACGTAGCCCCTTGTGTGAACAATAAAGTCAAAGGAACCATACTCCTACTCGCAACCCTTCGCAAGATATAAGCCCCTGAAAATTGGCCTATGTCATTTCTGGTCACGTGACACCATGGTCAAAAGGGAGCCTACCACACGAAAAAAAATTCATGTGCACTCGCGCACACTTGGGGGGTCGCCAACCCACTCATTCACAGGGTAAATTGTGGCAAACAGGCGGTCATGTGATCCATAGAATAATTTTCGGAGAGCTATATCTTGGGAAGGGTTGTGCATGGGGGTACGATTCATTGTTGTTCACACAGAGGGGGGTCACCACCCCTTCATTCGGAGGGAAAATCTTACTGTCCCAATTGCGTCACCCGGATCTATATTTCTACCTATTAAACATTCTATAAATACTTTAAAATAGTTTAATTTGTTTATTTACCTTCGCTTGTAAACCTCAATTTTAAATGTATCCACCATTTTTTCAACAAATTTTCCGTGAGTCAATGCGCGACATTCACTGAGTCACAGGATGTTGTAAACTTAAGATGCAAGGTTAATCAAGGCATATAATAATTATTTATACCATTCCATGGTATAAATAATAAATTCATATCAATAATAAATTCCTATTACAAATAAAAATAATTTATTGTTAATTTAAAATCATCACTANTGGGGGGTCGCCAACCCACTCATTCACAGGGTAAATTGTGGCAAACAGGCGGTCATGTGATCCATAGAATAATTTTCGGAGAGCTATATCTTGGGAAGGGTTGTGCATGGGGGTACGATTCATTGTTGTTCACACAGAGGGGGGTCACCACCCCTTCATTCAGAGGGAAAATCTTACTGTCCCAATTGCGTCACCCGGATCTATATTTCTACCTATTAAACATTCTATAAATACTTTAAAATAGTTTAATTTGTTTATTTACCTTCGCTTGTAAACCTCAATTTTAAATGTATCCACCATTTTTTCAACAAATTTTCCGTGAGTCAATGCGCGACATTCACTGAGTCACAGGATGTTGTAAACTTAAGATGCAAGGTTAATCAAGGCATATAATAATTATTTATACCATTCCATGGTATAAATAATAAATTCATATCAATAATAAATTCCTATTACAAATAAAAATAATTTATTGTTAATTTAAAATCATCGCTAGGGCGCCTCTAGTGCCCGTTTTTGGATACCGTTATGCGAACGAATACCCGTTCAATGGGTTATATATATATATATAGATATGTTTTAGCAATTTTTTGCACTATATATATCAGTGTGACTTATGTGAACAAAATTATATATAAATATAATTGTAAAAATACTTACAGAAGTAAATACATCAGGTCCTTCATCGAAATCAACCATACCAAAAAATAATTTGTTTGAATACATTTGTGAATATCTCCAAGAATTAGCTACAATTTGAAATTCATCATGGGCATGTCTATAAAAATATACAAAAGTAATCAAAATATTTTTTTATATTATCAATCATCATTGAAATTCTATAAATTACATATACAATAATAATATTTTGCATCTTTTCTTACCTGCATACTATGCATTGACGATGAGGAGATAATGCAGTAAGCATAACAACAAAAGAATAATTTCTTGGAGATGCTTTAACATACTGGCGAAATTTTTCACCGTTTAATCTAATTATTGGTCTTTTTGCACTCATATCCATTAACTGTTGAACTCTCTCTCCCAAAGTCTGAACCTAATAATAATAAAATAATAAATAAATTTTAATTTATTATAATTTTGATTAGAATTTATTCATTTAGTTGATACAAAAATTTTCAGTAATTATGAAATAAAAATTAAATATACAGCAATTGAAATGTGAATAATTCAGGCTATATACAGTATATTCATATGCTCANAAAAAAAAAAAAGTCAATTAATTTGTATGCTATAATATGTCAAAGTTCGATTCAAAGAAAATGATGTGCATGTGGTCAATTAACTTAAATGCCATCTACTTATTTTTTGAGCCGTCTAAAATTATGTAGAGCATATTAATAATGATTTTCTTTTGTCATATCATTGATTATTATTTAAATTTTTTAATTTACAGTTTAATTAATCAATGTACATGGGGGGGACTCAAAAATAACTGGATTTTTTGTATAAAAACTTTATTTATTAACTTTTTTACAAAATTCCTTCAGTCACCTTCAAAGTACTCTCCATTAGATGCAATTCACTTGTCAAGTCTTTTTCCCCATTGTTCGAAGCATCTCTGAAACTCTTCAACCTTGATATCGTCCAGTGCCCTTAGCAAATCTGTTATCATCACCTCCACATCATCAAAACGCTTCCCTTTTATATTTTTCTTCATTCTCGGAAACAGAAAAAAGTCGCACGGGACTAGGTCTGGTGGGGCTAGGTCCCAGAGGATGGGGAACGACAGGCCATCCTCGAGAGGCCAAATAGTGAGTCACTCATAATGCCATGTGTGCAGGGACGTTGTCATGATGAAGGAACCAGTCACCTGATCGCCAAAGTTCTGGGTGTTTGCTTCGCACATCCTCTCGCAGACATCTTAACACTTTTTGGCGGATTTTTTCAATGTTTTCATTGTTTTGAGATGTTGAAGGACACCCAGAACTTTGCAGGTGGAACAAAATAACAGTAAGAGAAACACAACACTACACTCAAATGTAAACCTACAAACTGATGCCATTTGCACAGCTGTTTTGTGAAGGTCTCTACTAACCCCACGTAACAAGAGAACTCTCTACTACATCTACAAATGGCAGTGTGCTCTCAGTTCGGTTTTTCTTGGGTCCCACCTCGTATATAAAACTAATTTTATTCATATATAGAATTATTGTAAAACACAACATGCATATGGGAAATGTCAAGAAAACCAGGGTTAGATAGCTAAAAGTCAGGAGGTGGAGACTAGTAAATTCAAATTTATTGAAAATTTAAAATTATTATTTATTTCAAATCATCTATTAAATTTTCTGTAATATCTTGAATTACAGTAGACTCTGCTTATCATAATCACAGATATTGTTAGCAGTTGTTTAATGTTATCAAATAAGTCAAAATATACAAAATTTCACTTATTGTAACCATTTTCTTCAAGTAAATAGACATTTTTAAGTTTCTGCATTATTAGCCTCAACATTTGGCTGATTAACAGGCAATCATTTTCATTTATCACTAGCTTACCCATCGCGCATTGCTGCGATCTCAGAAGAAAGGAAGTTCAAGCAAACTCGTTAAAACTTATTATTATTCATTTTCATCGGGAAAACATTTCAAAGTGTTGTTTCAATTTTATTTATTTATTGGAGTGCTTTGTGGATACACGATATTTTTTGTTTTTCTGTCTGGTGCGTACACGAATAAATCAAAAGGTTTTCCGACGCGAGTTGGCCACATACAGTTGTCCAAGCGAGAAGCACGGATTCTTTAAATTTAGCCCACATACTCGCAGAGATTGTTGTTCGGGGTACAGTTAATGTTTTAACAAAGTTCAAGCGAAGACATAATTAGCAAAAAAAAGTTGAAATAAAGTGATTAAACAAAAATTATTACAAATATCGTAAATAACAGTTCACAAATGCATATATAGAGATATTTTTTGAAGGGGGGAAATGGTCTTCACAATTTGAAATCAATCGAACACACTGTGCGCGAATGCTCGTGTAAACACGCGCCATCTATCGTAGGATAAATGTACTTCGCGGGAGTGTATTAAAAAATTAAAAAAACTTTCCAAAGTTTCATGGCAATCGTACTATGCCACAAACCTTCGCTGGAGTATACTTCCCAAAGTTTCACGGCAATCGGATAAACAGTGTGGTAATGCATGAAGGACAGACAGATACACAGACATACATTCATTTTTATATATATAGATTATCCATCTCAGCTAGTGCTTTAAATGTTGAATATTACATTTTCTGGTTCTTTTCTCTTAATGGGATGCCAGTTGTAACTTTAATCCAAATGCACAATACTGTCTTCCAAGAACCATAGTCTAAAAACTAGAACATCCATGAGCAAATAATTATGCTATTTACCACAAAGTGGAAATTCAGAACTTACAACTTATAAATCTCATATGCAATGACATATGTTTAACTTTAATGTCATTACAAATTTCTCACTGCACATTAACTTTTTGACACACTATAGATAAGATTTTTCAGTAATAACTTCTGAATACTTCAAATACAATTGCACTGTTAGATTCAGCACTAAATATCTTTTAAAAGTATTGTCATAAGATATGGGGTTACCATTTAAGATTTTAAAGTTACAACCATTTTTACTTTTAAAATTCTACGATTAAATTATCAAGATAGTATGTAAAATAAAATACAGTTTTATATTTATTCATATATCCAAAGTTTCAAACTTCTATTAGGACTAGAGATATGAGCCTGGTATTGCTTTTCTGGGATGTAGTAATAGTAGAAATAAATACTAATATATCAGTAATAAAAACATTCAGTTAATATTTAAGTATTTGTTTGAATTTGAAATCTTAATTCTTAGTATAACATTATTTTATTATCTAACATAAAAACATATAATTAATTTCATCACTGATAAAATGTGTTTGTAGAGACATACTTTTTCTTTCTTTTCTTTTAAGATAAAGTTTTATTCTTGGACTAGAAAATCAAAACCAAAATGGGGAAAAAAACCCAAAATAGATCTATAAACCATTCAATCAATGGTTAGATTGGTTAATATGGAAACAATGTTATGAAAAGTATAGTTTTTTTTTTATCTGATGTTGGTGAACTCATAAATAATAATGAACATAGAAGTTTATTTAAATATTTTAAAAAATAATAGTCAAAAGAAGACACCTAGGATGTTATAATAAAAATTTAAAATCTCAAAAAAAAAAAAAAAAAGTCAATTAATTTGTATGCTATAATATGTCAAAGTTCGATTCAAAGAAAATGATGTGCATGTGGTCAATTAACTTAAATGCCATCTACTTATTTTTTGAGCCGTCTAAAATTATGTAGAGCATATTAATAATGATTTTCTTTTGTCATATCATTGATTATTATTTAAATTTTTTAATTTACAGTTTAATTAATCAATGTACATGGGGGGGACTCAAAAATAACTGGATTTTTTGTATAAAAACTTTATTTATTAACTTTTTTACAAAATTCCTTCAGTCACCTTCAAAGTACTCTCCATTAGATGCAATTCACTTGTCAAGTCTTTTTCCCCATTGTTCGAAGCATCTCTGAAACTCTTCAACCTTGATATCGTCCAGTGCCCTTAGCAAATCTGTTATCATCACCTCCACATCATCAAAACGCTTCCCTTTTATATTTTTCTTCATTCTCGGAAACAGAAAAAAGTCGCACGGGACTAGGTCTGGTGGGGCTAGGTCCCAGAGGATGGGGAACGACAGGCCATCCTCGAGAGGCCAAATAGTGAGTCACTCATAATGCCATGTGTGCAGGGACGTTGTCATGATGAAGGAACCAGTCACCTGATCGCCAAAGTTCTGGGTGTTTGCTTCGCACATCCTCTCGCAGACATCTTAACACTTTTTGGCGGATTTTTTCAATGTTTTCATTGTTTTGAGATGTTGAAGGACACCCAGNTAAGGGGCCGTATGTGGCCCGCGGGCCGCAGGTTGTGCACCCCTGTTAAGTGGTGTTCTATCATATTTTAGTTATGTTTTCAAAAATTAGTTGGAAGTCTTCAGTTAACACTATAACACATTATAATAATTTTTGGTACTTATGGGTTAAGACAGGGGTCGGCAGTTTGTCAAGTGAGAAGAGTCAAATTGTCATGAAAACAGGATAAGAAAAGTACCAGAGAGCCGCATATTAATTTAAATGTGCGAAATACGACACACGACAGGACGCCTCTAGTGGACGTTTTTGGATGGACACGCGTTCAATGTGTTATATATATAGATATGCTTCAAATGCTACCATTTTTATGCGACTCATATTGATCAACGTGAGTGTGGTCATGTGCGGAAGGTGTCGAGTCGAAGTTTGTTTGGCGGCTCTATCTCATAAACTCATAAGTTATAAGGCTGCGGTGAAATAAGATGAGGTGAAATTGGAGTTTATGTCCGAAGAGCCGCAAACGTCTATGCAAAAGAGCCGCATGTGGCTCGCGAGCCGCTAATTCCAACCCCTGGGTTAAGAGGACGCCAGTTCAGTGGGGACGCACGTTCTAACCTATTCTAATAAATTACCATAATTATTACCAATCAAATTATTAGAATAGGTTAGGTTAGGTTAGAACGTGCGTCCCCACTGTTTCCTTTTGTTTGCTGGATTCAGAGATGAGCTGCCATGACGGTATACGTATTTGAACTTTAACCGGCAAATAGGCGATATCTATCATCCTAATTAATTTTTTTTCATTTTTACAACCTTATTAATAAATTTTCTTCTTTTTAGATTTAAATTTACTAGTCTATTGTTATTTTTATATTTTCATTCAAAAGCGCGACTTTGATTGCTATTTCCGACTGGCGTCCTCTTAACCCATAAGTACCTAATTTTTCCCATTTAAAGTATCAGTAAATAGGCTCCCAATTAATGTATTCCAGTAGAACACCAGATTTTCAGGAACAAATTACAGACATTAATTAAGTCAGAATGCCTGTATATGCCATTTCATTTTTAATGTTACATCTAAATGCAACTTTTTTAAATTCACAAAAAACTACACACAGGTAAGAATTTCTGATATAATTTCATACATTTATTCTTATACATATGAAATTTAATAGAAGTTTACTTGTTTAATACGTGTATTGATGTCTATTTAATTCAGTTATAACACATTAGGTACCAAATGAGGTAGCTGGGACCATATGAGAGCCGTTGACTACGTCCATAGAAGGGGTCTAATATTTGGGGGGTCTAATATTTGGGGGGTCCAAATCCCTCACTTAGAACTGCAATTTTACCATATATTAATCTAATTACTATAATAATTTACGATTTACCAATAGCACTTAAATGTTAGCCGAAAAATTATCATATACCTCTTTTCTTTTGGGATTTCCATTCCCATATTGTAATATGCATAAAAACACGAAAAGCACAACAAAACACCGGGTCTTCTTTGCAGTCATTTTAGAAGGTTGCCATTAAATGAACGACGTTTCAGTTTCTCATTCGTCAAACAGAAATTTATTATTTGTAAGCTCTATTGTAACAAATAATTTATTATTACTATTTCAAACACAAAATATAATATTTATATATCGATATAAATTTAATTAATTTTAAAAAGATTTATTTTATAAAGCGACATCTAGCGATTAAGTTTTAAAGTAACCGTTATATCCGTAGTTGAAAAATTTGAATTTGTTTCGATACGGGAAGCGGTTATTTGATTGTGTGCCATGTTATTTTGTTTGGAAGATTTAAAAAAACGAAAGACAATACCTTTAACTGATTCTGAGGTTGGTTTTTTTATTATATTTGTAGTAAAGTTTCAAAATAATAATAATTCTCATGTGAATAGACGTCATTAAATATAGTTTCACTCTAAAGTATGTAATTCACCTGCATAATAAATGTTATTTTAATTTCAATTATACAGTAGAACCTCGAAAACTCGACCTAATGTGGACTGAAGGGTGGCCGAGTTTGTGAAAATGCCGAGTTATCGGGAATGGGGTTAAAAAAAATAAGTACGAGTATTTCCTCAGAAAATACTGTACTGTACTTGTACAGTATTTACTTGTACAGAATATAACAGAGAATAAACTGCCCAAATACCCTTAAACAAAGGAAAAGTACGTCCTTTATGAAGGCATAGAGCCACTACATGAAAATGAAAATTAATGAATACACTGTGTACAGTAATTTACCTGATAAGACAGATCTCAGAAAAATACTTTATGAGAGCTTTTATACTTTTATAAAGCTGTCTATAATGAAAATTAATTAACTAAGGATTTTTTTGCCCTGCCAAGGTGTGGACCAGTTATCCGGAGTGCTAAGTTATCGAGGGACGAGTTTTCGAGGTTCTACTGTACTAGCACTATAACGGCTTTCCCTTTTTCGCTAGACTTATTACACCATCAGTCAGAGAGAGAACAAACTTTAGAAAATCATATCTTTAATTTATTGATATGAATACGATATACGTAGCCTATTACTCAGGTGGAAATCCAGCTCTGAATGATGTGATTGAGACCTATCAGAGCTGTATAATATGCCCGGAGGAGTCGATGGTCTATGTGTGACCCTTCAGGGAGGGTTCTATCTGGTGAAGACCAGATAGAACCCCCCTGAAATCAGCCTATCTGCAATTTTGAAGACCTTCAAAAATAGAGTAAACTTTAAAAGTACAGTGGAACCTCGGTATACGTCTGCTTTAGAATACGTCCAATTCGGAATACGTCCTGTTTGGACGAAACAGATTTTGCTCGGTATACGACTTAATTCAATTATACGCACCATCTATGAACAAGTAGCACTATCGGTGTACTACACTAGACTAGACGTTCGCTGTGCTACGGTTTATAACTTTGTTAAATTTCTTCTGATTTTAATTCGTAAGTAACATTTTATTATTTTTATTAATCATGAATTGCAAAAGGGCAACAGAAAAATAAAAAAATGACTAGAATCACAACGGAACTGAAAAAAGAGATTGTTGAGAAATATGAAGGTGACACATGTGTTCGAGATTTAACGAGATTTAACTGTTGCATTCCGTATTCCGAGAACGACAATATCGACAATCGTGAAAAATAAAGACATTATTAAATTTGCTAACGTTACGAAAGGGGTTAAATCAATTTCTAAACAGAGATTGTAGACATTAGATCATGTCGAGAAATTGCTTTTGCTTTGGATAACTGAAAAACAGTGTGCCGGCGACAGCGTATCAGAAGAAATTATTTGCGAGGAAGTTAAAAGGATACATGCTGATCTCATGAAAAATTAAGCAGAAACTAGCCAGGAAAGCCAGGTGTTTAAAGCCAGCCATTTTTTTTACACGAGAACGGATTAATTATTTTTACATTACTTCTTATGGAAAAAGTTGGTTTGGTATACGTCCTATTCGGTATAAGTCCAAACATCGGGAATGGATTAAGGTCGTATACCGAGGTTCCACTGTATAATATATTTATTATACATATACTACAGTGGCGTGCCGTAACATTTGATAATAGGGAAGCTGTGCTTCTGTAAGAAGCCGACATCCAGGGGCAATCAGTCAATTGTGCATCAGTGATGGTCTAGGGTCCATTCGTATCGTTTATTCGATAAGCCAGTAAAAACCATAGACTTTTCTAAATGCATTTTTAATATCACAATTACATTCCAAATCGCTAGCCATGATATAAAGGCTACAATTAAAAATAAAATAGTAAAAACTTGGTGAAATAAAATGTGTGGTGGATGTACTGGTACATACCTGGTACAAAATATTCTTCAATTGTATGAATATACTTTTAAAGAAAATTATAATTAAATATAGCTTTGTAAAGAAACATACTGTACCTAAAAATATAAAATATTCTTTACTTTTTAAATCTTAAAACAGTGCACTTATTCAAATAGTTTCCTACAACTGGCTAATGGATGGAATCGAAGATGGTTGCAGAGTGTGCATACACGTGGACTGCCAAATCTCCAATGTGCCGATATTGGTCAATGTCAAATACCTCTTTTGTCGCATCACTAGTACAGTGGGTGATTGGTTAATGAACATAATCCGTTCCAAGACTTTGTTCGCTATCCGAATTGTTCGTTAACCGATTATTGATTTACCATAGGTTTCTATGGGAATTTGATTAATTTGTTCTGGAGACTCCCCAAAATAAAAAATATAGGCTATACTTTCTTACTACGTTTATTTATATGTAATAATAAAAATACATACGTACACAGTCTTGCGTTAAACTGAAGAAACATGACTAATAAGTCATGTTTTTTCAGTTTGAAAGGGTTAAAGAATCTGTCTAATGTCGATTGCTTTTCTCTCTTCTTCAGGATTTTTCATAAGTAATTAATAGCATTGCAATTGTAGAAATCCCCAAGCCTCAACCTGGTTTGGATGCCATTTTAAGACCGTTGTTCTGACATCATCCCACTTCTTTATAAGATCTTTAATAGCAGATATCGGCATAAGTCCGCATTTTCAGAAGAAAACATATCTCGCCGAGTTTCTTGGTGTTCTTCATTCAAGAGTTCTTGGCGTTCTTCTGTCGTCGGATCCGTTTCAGGTTCCATTACGAACTCTTTGATGTTCTTTATTTCTCATATGTGATTTTTGTTACTCCTTTAGCTGCTTGAGTCTTCTTAATTATACGGTATTTTTCTTTAAAAAATGAACTTCGGCCTACTGTAGACCTGTTCATGCCATACTGCCCAGCAACATTAGGTATCTTCTGCCCACTCTTTACCTTTGCTATTATACTCTCACCTTACAAAAAAAAAACAGACGCAAAACTTAACGAGTGCCAACCCGACAGTCTTGCGAATACATAAAAGAATTCTTTTGTCATAAAAATAATAGGCTGGAATTATAAGGGAGAGTTTTAAAGTTCGGAGGAATACTATCCGATTGGTATATACCGGCTTGAGCGTCGATGTTGACATCTCCCACACTCCGAAAAGTTTCGAATTGTTGCCCGAAGACAAGGAAAGTCCAATTGGTATTCGTTATTTTGCATCGCTTCTTCTTGTTTGTTCTGTGGGATGTTCGTTATCCGATTTGTTCGTTGTCCGATCTGTTCGTTAACCGATCACCCACTGTATATCTCAAAGGACGCGACAGGGCTGGTGTAGATTTTAGACGTTTCTCACCATAGCTGTAAAAATCTAAATATGTTAAACTTAATTGTCATTTTGTTTTCTAACTAATTCGTTTTAGGACCAAGTGTCCTCAGAAATTTCCAAAATTTACAACTTTCAGTCACTTTCATTGAACTGGAAAAATTTCTGTCTTTATTACATTAATACAAAGAAATCAGTCTCCACTGTACTTGGCTAGAGATAGTTCGGTTAAGCTTTTGTTTAAGTAAAATTTCGGCTCTCATCAGGGTTTTGTTTATGTCCCCAATTCCCTAATCGCTTAATTATTTAACTACAGTAGAGCGTCGATTATCCAAATCAATTGGGGACTGGGGTTGTTCGGAAGATCGATGTTTCGGATAACCAGTTATGTACGAAAAATATATTAATCTATCCCATGTTGAAATTTTTCTCCGTTGCGTGTCGCTTCGCGTTGAATTTTCGTCGATGTTAAGCCTAACAAAGACTATTGTATCGTTAAAAATTATTTTTTTATTTTGTACAAACAAAATAAATATATTGAAAAATATAAAAATAATAAAAAATTATACTTCAGAAGTTAATTTAGTATCAAAAACACAAAATATTTGAGTAGCCCAAGACATAGCCAAAGATTGCAGCGCCACAGCACTAGCGAAAATTTAAATTTGCCAACTGGAATTCTTTCGGATAATTGACTTTCGGATAATCAACGCTCTACTGTACTTCCTAAGTAAGTTGAAACCAGTTACTTTGTACTTGAATATTTGTAGTCTTGGGAAAAAAGTGGAAAGAAATTTTTATGACAAACGGATACATAAATTGTAAATTTAAAGAAAATAAATTCTAGAGCTTTTCTGTACCTCGTGCATCGCTCTCATTCATTAAATTTAGTTGTAAATGACGCTTTGAAAGTAACAGTTAATTTTTTAACATTATACAAGAATTGTACACGTTTTTTTCTACATCCTCTTAGAGATGGGACATACGAAATCGTAATATCACTGGTTTAACATTGAAATCCATGAGTAATATAAAATCGGAGAGCGGAATAAAAATATCAAATATTTTAATGGATGTTTTTTAACTCCTGTCAACTATACGGAACTATTATAAAAACATACAGGTAAATTCTTATCTGTTGGGTTAAGTTATAAATCTACTTACGATTCACATAATCGGGCGAGGGCGGCCAAATATCTAGTGGGCAGGCGGCTAACAGCCCAGAACCAGTCCTGGATAGAATTGAATGTGTTAAACGTGTAGCATCCACCCAAGGTCCTAGGCTTCCACCAGCTAAACCGGGTAAAGTTGGTGCTCTGGCTTTTTGGATGCTGACAATACAGCACTTTCACTCTGCCAGTAATACTCGAATATACAATAGCAATTTTTTTTTTTACGTGTAGTATAGAAATTTGTAATAAGATACATAATGCGGTTGTAATAAAATATTGTGCGATTATTTTCATATAATTAAAATTGATAGGTATTTATTTTTTAGAAAATACAAGGGAAGCGGCGCATCCACCGCTTCCAATGACGGCATGCCACTGATATACTATAAGCTGCACTGTTCTATCTTGCAAAGGATCATGTTTAGACCATCTGTTCCTTTGAGTTCATTACTGCTGTGGACTTGGTCTATGGCTCTAATAAGGTCCTGATGGTC